ACTCCATTATTTTGTTCGCTATTTAAGATTAATTGTGCTGTGGCAAATTTTCTAAATTCTGTACTGTACAATATATTATTTGACGTTTATTGCACGCTAATTATCAATGGATTTACGGATTTATTTGTGAACGATAATTATTTATAAATGATCATTTATTATCACTTGTCTACTTGTACCATTTGCCAAGCTTCTCTTTTCAGAGAACAAATTAGAAATAATATATTTAATTATTTCAGATCATCGTTTTATTTTATTTGAATAGAAAGTTAGTATAAGATGTACATGAAATTATTTAAATCAATGATAAATCTTTAATCATGGTACTCAATAAAATAAATGAATGAAATATTGCTGATCACTTTTTACGCAAAGATTTTGTCAAATTTAATAATAATTTTATAAGGATCAATTCGCATAAGTATTTTGATCAGAGCATTATTGCATTTTAAGAGAGCGTTACCATCGCTGGTTAGGGTGCAAGCTTGTCGGATTTGACAAATATGCCAGCGAGTCCCTTGGCGATAGAAATACAGGTTAGTCGTTAGCATCACCCAGATTCTTGAACAATCCACTGGCTAATACGATAGAATCATTCCTTTTAAGGGTGCTTCCTCAGTATCATCCGCATTTTACTTTTAAAGATCTCCATTGCCAAGATATATATATATATATATATCATTCATTTTCTCTCAGCTTTAGCTTATTAAATTGTGATGCATTAATGTCTTGACAAAGTCAGCTTTTTTCATTCATACATAGCATGTGATAATTAAAAATTATCTATTTTTCGTATTTTCATACTATTTTACTCGTTAATGGGATCTTTTCGGCTCAGATTATTAGAAAATAAGTGATTTTATAAGCTTGTATAATTTGTTCAGTAACATTTCTCTTTGGCTTTTACTCGAACATCTATCATTTTAAAAAATTTTACTGATATTCAAAGTAATTAAGTACAATTAAGTAAAGTAAGTACAATAATTTAACATTAATTAGATTTTTATTAATTTTCTGCCAATATATTTTATATTTCCCTTAATGTTTATTTTTTCGTTTTTTCCAGTATTTTTCAATTCAATATTCAACATTTTAATAAAAAGATGTTAAATTTTGGAATTGAGATTTTCCTTGCTCTTCTCACCATTCTGTCACTTATTTACTTTTTATCATTATTACTATCTGAATTACCATTACCATGGTAGTATGAGATAAATTTTTGGCAAGCACCATTGGTTTGAAAGTGGTTTAGCCTTTCTGGAATTTACGATTTTTTTCCTTTGATTTTAAAAAAATGACGTTAATTTTAAATGCGGTTTGTTCTTAACTAATTTTTACATCGACATCGTGCTTGGTGCGTAATTTTTACTTCAGTTACAATGACATATTCGAATATGAAATTGGTAATCTTTGAGCATAAGCACGAAAGATTTTCCTATGTAATTTTCCTATGTAATTTCTATATAATTTCATTTATTTTATAAATCATCGTATTGGTCGTATCCACATTATGCATGACGTGAATAACTAAAATTGATCGCATTTTTTCCCATGAGATGTAAGCAAATACGACAATTGCCATCTGTTCTTGCGTTATATGAATCCTATGGGATTTCCGCTTGATTTTAGTTAATTGTAAACTTAAAAATTCTATCGGTGGAATGTTTTAGAAAATTTTGGAGAGATTCAGCACAGTTAAATAAAATTTCTTTAATTAACAATATTAATAGTTAAGAGAAATTTTATCTCAGTTTTCTTGTTATTTTCATCGCATTAAGTCGTAATCTCATCTTCATCTCTTTACATTGATTCTCAATTTTTTCCTGTCCATTTTCTATAGAATTTTATATGGTCCATACCGAAATAGATCAGTGCATATAATCTTTATATATATATTCACAACGACTTCACTAATTCGAGGACTCATTTTCGTTTTTAAAATTTATTGGAGGAAATTAATTAGATAAATGTTACGAAAATCAAAATGGCTTAAAGGCGGAGTCCAGTGATATGGTATTTTCGTTACGTTGAATTTATTAATAAATGGGTAGAAATCGAAGTTTTTCAAGGAAACATTTGGATAATAGAGTAAATGATAATGATGTTTTCATGATATTTGATTTTTTTTCCATTTTTCATGGATATGAAAAATACCAATTAGATATTAATTAGATATTAGATATAAAGTGCTATTTTTACTGCTGTTTTCATCTTTAGTAATAATCTTTAATTTTATTCTTGCTTTCGATAATTTGCACTCGATTCTCTGCTATTTTTATGTTCTATTTAATATCAGCTTTTCATCAGCTCTGAGTAAAGCAATTTTTACCTTAAGCTGACAATGGTTTGATATTAATCTCTAATAATAATGTTGATTATCCAGAAAAAATTCGTAAAATAATCTTTGGTGGGCGAAATACGCCAAACTTTTGTCATATTAAAATGCATATTAAAACTACAGGAATGAGAGACTGTCGTCAAAAAGCCGTTTTCGCTTGTTTTGCATTCCCTCAAAAAAATTAACTTGAAGGAAACATTTATTTGTTAATCTTCAAACAAGATGGAATTTTTTGAACGACAAAATTGTGAACTTGTTTATTCTGATACATAAATGCAAAAAATTATATTGGCTTTATCTTAAACATAGTTTTGCTGATTTTTCGCGATTCATTTAAATATTTCTATTTGCAATTTTCAAGTAAAAATAGGAAAATAAAAAGGATTTGAAGATGCTTGTATGGTTATAAATATACAAGAAATATAATGAATCTTAAAATTTTTGATTGCCAAAATTATTTTTATCGGATGTTAGCCAGCGATTTTTAAATGCCATTTTGGTTATCAAAGTCTTATCTTTTTTTAGTTGTATTTGGTGATCCTTTTAGAAAAAATGGCTTAATTAGAAAATAGTGTTCTATTTTATAAATTTAAGCACATCATCTAGACAAAGTGTTCTTACGATTCAGTTCTCATTCGTTATTTTGTTATCTTCTTTGATCAATAGTTGTTCAATTTTTCTTTTTTTGCTTTTACAATCTTAAAAATTATGTTCCCCTAAATAAACTTTTATTTGCGATAATATCCTTGTTTACCGTACAACGAAACGAAAATTATTATAAACGAAAATTAAGAAATTTTTAAAATATTTATCATATATTTTGAAAATAGCAGTTCTGAACTCATTAATATAAATAATATAAATAACATATTTAAGAATTATTATATATTATATATGTATATATATTTTTAAAAGAGACCATTACTGAACTCGCTCCGCTGGCTTGTTGCATTGGTCATTGGCCAGAGTTTCTTGGCGATAGAAATACAGGTGAGTCGCCAGCATCACCCGGATTCTTGGACAGGTTTATTCCTGCTGGGAATAGAACCTTAGTATCGGTGCTCCGAATTGAGCAAAAACTTAAATCATCTCTTATGTGTCTGGCTCAATAAGAAAAAAAGGCAAATAATGTCTAGTGAAAATAATTTTAGTTTTCCTTAACTGCCCAGGTGGTCTGTGGGACTTTGAGGACGGCTGCCCTAGCTTATAAATACTACGATGACTTCCTATTCATAGCCGCAGTCTTTCATTTCGCTGAGGTATTATTGATTAAATTTTTATTTCAACTTATTGTTTGTCTTTATATATTCTTATATAAAAATATATTCTTATTTTAATTCATGTATTTTATGTTTATGCATGCATTTTGTGCATTTATGGATTGGTGACTATTTTTTTAAAAAATTCGCCGAAGGGATTTATTCCGATTTCTTTTCTTCCATTGCTTGTTAACTTATCAATTATTTCATTTGTAATTGTAACAATTTTCATCAATTTTTTGATTATGAAAAAGTTTAATTGCATTCTCGAATTATATTTTTCCTTTTTTGGGTAAATCGACAATTTAAATAAAACCTTAAAAAAACCTTACTTACGCCACTTATTTTATTATTCATGAAATAACTTGATACTTAGTTGGTTCTCAAATAAGATTTTGACTGCGTTTATTTATAGCAGGGGCTCTTAGCTTTTTTCTTGCATTGGCTCCACACAAAAAAATATTTTTCTCATCGATCTCCTTAGAATTTTTGTTCCCAAAGATTTTAGAATTACATCCTATGAATTAATAAAGACTGTTTTCAAAATGATAACTAAATGTATTTTTTACAATGTTAAAAATTTAGGGGACTTTCATTCAACAAAAATTTTATGTAATAAATAAGGGAAATTTTGAGTTCTCGTGGTTGAAGCCTTAGTTTATCCATAAACATTTGGCATAATAAATTTTTTAAAGCAAAATTGCAAAAATGTAGAAGGTACAAATTATAGTGACATATAAAAACACATTCAGTGCCTAACACAAATGAATCATTTATTTATTTATTTTTTCATTATAACTCGAAATTTATATGATATTTTTAAAAAAGAGTAGTAAAAATTTCAACTTGTCCATCGATCTCCATCGATCCTAATTGATTTCTTAGTGCCCTTCCTTCTCTTTCAAATTTTTCTCTTTAGATTCCCTTATTTAGTCTGTTTATGATCTTTTTTTTGGGAATATAAACTGGGAACTGAACCATTCTTTTTCATCCGTCTTAGTTGCATGATGCCATTCAAATCTGGATGATAATGAAATTCCATCTATACTTCCATCTTTAATGTTTTTCTAACAAGAAGGTTTCAGCTAGAAATCGGTATTGTCATTCAAATGGTTAGCACTGCCAGATCCTTCTTCTCCTTTACCATAGACTCTTCATTGCTCAAAAAAATATTTTTATTCAAGGCAAAGATTTTTTTCGCGATTATAATCGGGTGAGATAAAAGTGCTTAAATGTTTTTCTCAATTTCTTAGCTTGTTGTTGTTGTTTTTTGAGGGATTTCAGAATCTATCCTCTCACCTGTATCGCTTCCACGAGAACTTATTGTTTGCAATAAATTTAATTATTATTTATTTTTTGCAGATAATTTAAAATAATTTAAATGCGATATTCTTGAGAGAAAAATGAGTGGATTAACCTTTCATCTACAATCAGGTTTCAATAAAAAAACAATAACGGTGGAAAATCAAGAAATTTCCATACGAGATTTGCGCAAAACTGCTGTTAATTTCATAAAAGAAACGGTGAATTATATTGGATTTTGAATATAATCGTAATATGAAAAAAAACAACAAGATTTCTTGAAATAGCCTTGAAAATTTAAAAGAAATTTATAAATAGATTATAAAAAATATCTTTTTCTCGCATTGTTTGATCATCGCAAAATTATCAAATTTTTATGGAAAAAATGGATGAAAATATAATAAATATAATAGCGCCTTAGATAATGTCAAAAATTTCGATTTAAGTATGACATAAAGCATTTTAAGGTAAATGCACTGAATTCTAGATCAGAAATAGATTTTAATTTCTAGAACTTTTAGTATCCAAACTGCGAATCTTTTGACTGGATTCAAGACTATATCTTACTTTATCGACATGATCTGTGCTCGGTCAACATCCTTCAACTGATAAAAGCTAGTGAGGATATAACTGATGGAACACTTATCGAGGTTGTAATCAGCTGTAAGCTCTTTTTTTTCTTTAACTATGACTGGGTGTGTAGTTTATTTATTAATGAAATAAATATAAATGGAATAGAATATAAATATTAGCTTGAACAAATTAAAGCATAATAATATGGACTCAACATGGACTTTACCATTATTAATTCAATTTTTGCAAAAAAAAGAAGTATACTTAAATTATTAAATTTTGTATGGGGATTTGTTGAGAAAATATAAGAATTTCATTAATTTTTTCTCTAGCATGTCCTCAATATGAACGTCTTGTTGTCCATCCACATACACTATATGTGCACAGCTATAAATCGCCGACATTCTGTGATTTTTGTGGAGAATTATTATTTGGATTAGTTAAGCAAGGCATAAAGTGCCAAGGTTTGTTAAATACTGCCACTCTATGCAAGAAAAAAGCAATTAAATAATAATTTATTTTCCTTTTCTTCATTTATTCTTTTATTATTTCATTCTTCTTTATTTTATAAGATAAACTCTCCTCTTATAAATAAGGTTTAAGAAACTTGCATCAAAAATGATAACACTTTAAACCTCTGTTATTCAATTCGAATTTCACTAATAATCTAAAATTTTACGAAATTATTCATCGCTTTCCATTAATATTCCAATAATATCTAAGCTACTTGGAAATTCTTCAAAGAAATAATGGAATTTATAAGTTAAACGTTTAATACGTCCAGGCTGCGGTCTAAATTATCATAAGCGATGTGCATCGAAGATTCCTAACAATTGTAGCGGATCGAAGCAACGGCGTCCTTCAGCTATTCCCTTATCAACTCGCGTTTCACTCAATTCTGCCCAACATGTACCATTTTATTCGTTGTTTTAATTTCTTTCAAAGGGATTATTTTCTCTTTCCTCTGGAATTTTAGATTTGTGCTTAAGTAAGCATTTGGCCCTCACCATTTGTCGTCAGATTCTGCTGTTTAATAATATAATATAAATTTTCGTCAGGGTGATGATAGGTTATCTGGCGCTAAGATTTGCTAGCATAACTGAATTTCTTAATGGCAAATTAATTTTTACTTTGATAGACAGGCATTGAATCCCTTGAAGATAATTTCTCTGAAGAATACGAATAATATTATCTATTCGACCGTGCTTGGAATTTTGGGCATAAGTTAACCTATAATTTTTCCAGATTTTTTATGAACCACTTTTTAGTTATGATGCATCAGGAAACATTTTTTGACATAATTTGAAACTTATTGTTTACTAGTCTTCTCTTTTTTTCATTTTCTTTTTTTTCTCTTATTTTATATTTCTTTATTAACCAAAAAAATTTTCCTTTTTTCGTTGTAGCAATCAGGTTCTTCAGCGACATCTTTAACAACAAAACAATTTCATAATTCTCTAACTCCTCATGGAAAGGTGAAATGACGATTTTTGTATTTAAATTTTCGTTATTAGTTTGGTGAAATATAATCTTTTCAGTAAAATTATTTTGGCATTGTGGCATTGCACTATTTCTTAAATTTCTTCATTACTGAATCCTTTTCTTAAGGACCATTTAATATAACTGTTCAGTTAACAATTTATTTATGAAATAAATTTATAAGTAATTTTAAAGGAAGCATTTCCAAAATCAATTCCAACAATGAACTTTATAACACCAGGAATATTGATTACAAGCCTGGACGACAGTATAGTTGAAGATTCTCAGGGATTGGACGTAAGCCATATTTCCGATTCTATATGTCATTTTCCAATTACTATTGGCTTATTTCGAAATTTTAAAAATTTTAAAATGGATTTTCGCTATAGCAATTGGTGATTTTGCATTTTGGACTTATTTTCTACAATTTTGCCCCTAACAAAAAAGATTAGTTCACAATTCTTTAAAAAGCTTTTCAGCGCAAGTTTGTTGTTTGCGGCAACATTTGGCAGTTAGTTTTTAAGAACCTAGGAACTCTCAGTTATCCTTCTGGTTCCTATTGAAATGACTGATTGAAAATATTTATATCGCAATATTTAAGCCCCATAAGTATGTTTATGATTCTTAACTAATAAGCATTGTGTAAAGTGTGGAAGACCTATCATTTATCGAGAAGAAATGTCTAAGCAATTACCAAATGTACTCGCTAAACTCTGGTTAAAAAATTCTGAAACAAATTTTATCATCATTCATTGTTTCAGTATGTCCCTCTGTCTCGTAAGGACCGTAGTAGTAGCTGGAATGGGCGACCCTTGTGGATGGAAGTTGCTGAAGCTACAAGAGTGAAGGTATTATCGCATTTAAATTTGTAATTAATAATTAATAATTTATTCAGAAAATATTCGCGATTTTATTTTTATATCGAATAATATTTATTCAGGTCTGTTAAAAAAATATATTATTTTCCTATAAATTTCGAACTATCAAATGTAAATGGAATCGATGCTTTTTAAAAAATTTTCCTAAAAATAGGAGTTTTAATATTTATTATCGTCTTAGAATGAAAATTTAAAATTCATTTCAGTTTTTTGTAAATTTTCCTCTTTATTTATAGTTTTTCAGAAAAAACATATTTAAAATAATGTCTTAAATAATGTCTTAAATTAAATAAAATCTGTTGTTGTTTGTTAAAATGTTAAGTGATTTAAAATTAGGTACCACACACATTCCAAGTGCACTCATATAAACGACCAACAATATGTCAGCACTGCAAAAAATTATTGAAAGGTCTTATTAGACAAGGACTGCAGTGTAAAGGTTTAAATTTTAAATTTTTTTTATAGATTACTTGATTATAATGCGAAATGTTTAAATCAAATGAAGATATCTCAATTAGTTTATATCTGAAATTTTTTACAGTTTTTATTAGATCTTGGTGCCTATGAGTACTTTTTTTCGGAATTCTTTGAATCGGTAATTCTGATTGGTGTTAGAGATTTTGGATGACTTGGGCACCCGTATTTCTTTTTTTCTGCCGGAAGGGTTCATCCTAGTACGCAGTGGTGTCAATCAAATAATGCATGGTGAGTCAAAAGAAGAAATCAAAAGCATCTGTTGAATGCTAGCATTTATTGAGTCAAAAATATTCGCTGAGATAACTTTTAAATTTGATTCTGTGTTTTATTTTTAATATAATCATATGCTAATATAGTTGAATTTTCGTTACTTCAGTATTTTTTAGAAGCATTGGTCCTTAGTCATCTATTTTCGGTTTATACTTGCTAATATTTAATATTTAAAAAATTCTCTCCTCCTGTGAGTGATAGAGGTCAACCTCGGGTTTGGGAGATTAAGGGTTCTGCACAACACAAAGGTTTAGTTGTTCCTAGTGCGCTTTTGGGCAGATGTTGTTCCTGGAATCTGTTGAAGCCACTTTTCTGGAGTTTTCACAATTCCTAATGTTTCAATTCTCACTGGGCCTACTTTGATTTTCAATTTCCACATCTTCTCTAGTTCTTTTTTCAGCCCTTGGTATTTCTCTAATTTTTCATATTCCTTCCTAATATTTCTCATATTTGGTATTGCTATATCTATCACCACTGTTGATTTCTAATTGTTGTTTATTATTATGATATCTGGTTGATTGTCCAGTTTGTTTATATGTCCGAATGGAGAAGTCTTTGTCTACACATGATCTTCGTCTTTGTCTTATTCTTTGCGATTTTCTGAGGAATCTCCTATTTAGTATTGGGAGTGTCTAAGCCATACGCCGAGCAGATGTTCCTCTAGATGATGCCAGCTACTTGGTTATAGGCTTTCAGTTATGTTCCTGCTTGCATTTTACATCTGGTCACTGTACTGTGTTGTACTGTTTCTGAGGCATTTTTGCACAATCTCCATTCTTTTCATCTATATATATATATGTATACATATTTTAAGATTTCGTAACTGATTCTTAAAGCAATAGAAAAGTTCATCTAAAGTTCTCCTTGATTTTAAAAACTTCTAAATAGGAACAGGTGTTAAGCGTAACTGCATGGAAGCAAACTTTTTTTGATTAGTATTTGTCGTTTTCATTTAATAACGTTTGGCTTAAATTTGTTTACATTGCCTACTTTGGCTTAAATTTGTCTATCGCACACCATCGAGCAACCTGATTCTAGCATGTTAAAACACTTAAACTTTTTTTCCTGAATGGCAACTATGTTTTCAGATTGTAAATATAATTGCCACAAAAAATGCTCGGAACACGTTGCGAAAGATTGTAGCGGTAGTGACATTAATCATGATTTATTCTTAGGCGATAATGAAAACCAAGGTAATTCGGCCAGATCATTAATAAATGCTGGTTCTAATGATGTTCATGATCTTCTATGATCAAAAAAATCATAGAGCCATAATTTTTTAAACTTTTTATTTTTTAATTTCAAGTCATACAAATTTTAGCCGAAATTTCTTCATAAAGCATAGAATTTTAATTGAATGTTTGATACTCCCATATATAATCCCATTTTGAAATTTTATTAGCTTGCATTTTTTAGATCGTGATTTCGGTGGAAGTATGAAGAATTTGAGAATTTATAGCGTTCCATATGACAGCGGGAATGAGACTGGTGACGGTAATTTATCAGTTTTATTCCGATTTACTTTTCTGAATACAATTACAGGCTTTCCTCAAAAATTTGTTTTCAAATTCTTTACATTCATACATTCATTGTGTGGAATTTTTATGAAGCAGAAGAAAATTATAACTGGTATATTAAAGTATTTATACCATTTATTCCACAAAGAAAATTTAGATGTGGTAAAGGGCGATAGTGACACTTCAGATTCTTTATTAGCCTCACACAAAAAGACTCGATCTACTCCAAGTGCACCGTTACAAGCTAGTGATGCGAGTAGCGATTTTGATGAAGAGCAAATTCATAAGAATAATGACCTCAATGAATCTCAAGTACAATCTTACTAATTGGTTTTCTTGATTTTATGAATTTTTTCAGCGATGCTTCTTCTGTTATTCTGTTTGATTGTAATAGCAAATTCCTTTTTTGTCCATATGAGTTCCAAAAAATCGTATTTTGAGGTACTCAAAAATATATTTATTCATTAGTTTATTTAGCTGGAGTTTAATTTACATTTATTTTTTAATCTATAAAAAAATTTTGGATTCCAAACTTATAAAGGGGTTTGATGTAAATATTGGATAACATTTCACTACAGCATTTCATGGTGGCAAAAAGTGGAGGAAAAAAAATTTTTGGAATAATTTAATAATGAATTGTAATTTCAGAATATACCATTAATGCGAGTTGTAATGTCGAAAAAGCAAACCAAACCTCATAATGCAAAAATATTGAAAGAAGGATGGGTCATACATTATACGAATCTATATAATATGGTTCATTTTATATTCTAAATTAAAAAAAAATTCGTTATCAATTTTAATCTTTGCGAACCATTCTCAGTCCTATTCAAGATATTTGTGCATTAAACCGCATTCTGATTAAACGTCGATCCTTTTTAAATTTTATATAAAATTTTACAGTTCATAATTTTTCCTTCTTCTAATATTTTGTGAACTTTAAACCATTGATGAACCATAATGAAATGAGAAACTGGATAATAAAAGGTTTGGATAAGTTTTTATTTAGTCTTCTTTTCGTTGAATCTTGATTTAACTCTAGAAATGTAACAGCAGTGCCTAAATTGCTATAAAATTGTGGATTCAAGCTGAATTAGAAAAGTACTTGTAATGAGTTCTAGGGAAAAAACTCATAGAAAGTTTAAAAGGTTCAAATAATTCGTGAAAAATTTTTGAGGATGATAGTGGATCTTAGAATTGGCCAATCAGATTCCAGTAAATATTGTGGATCTTAGATTCATCATTTTCTTCTTTATTTTGCTTTTATCTTTCTCCTTCTTTGCTTTATTTTTGAAATCGATTTAAAAAATGTCTTATTTTTAGAAGAAAAAACATTATTGGCGGCTGGATACCAAAACTATCGTGATGTATCAAGACGACTCAAGCAATCGCTATTACAAGGTGAGATTGTAAAAAAAACGACCAGCAAATTAGCCAAAAAATTCCCTCTTTCAATTTTGAAAAAATTATTTCCATTAAGTGATTTGTTTGCATTTCAAAATGGGATCAATTATTGTATTTTTTTTATTTATTTCAGTACCAAACATTTCTTTACCGGATTTTGTACTAACCATATTTACACTCTTATGGTTAAAATTTTATAACTTCCTAATTAGCACATCATTCGCCATATTCAAGAAATGCCTTTAATTCATAGAATTTTATCGAGGATTACGCGAAAATTTGTTCATGCATTTCTACCGTATTCATTACCAAAATTCAATAAATAATTTGCCAAAGATTCATGCATCTTAAATGCGACTAATACGTTTTATATGTCAAAGTTGTCATAATATCTAACCTGGCTTAGTCGAAATGACTAAATGATATATTAATCCTATTAACACGAGAAAATGACATGCTAAAAGAAAAAGAATTAGGAAAACTCGCTGTTCTTAATAAAGGTGTTTAAATGATTAATAATTAATTTAAATATCAGTTGATTTGATGGTGTGGTATGTGTTGTTATCAAAACATGCCAAAATCTGTGCAGTTTTATGCATTATAGGAATTACCTTTGGGCGAAATTTTGAATGTAAAATGCGAGACGAGTGAAGCAAGCGATGGCATCATTAGACCGTTTGAAATTGAAACTCACGGATGCACCTACTATATTGGTAACTTTTTTGCCATCATTTTTTTTGAATGATTTATTGAATTTTTCCTACTCTTAAAATCTACAAATCTACAAATTCCAAAAAATCTACAACTGAGTGATCGCAAAACTCTAAAAACTCTAAAGACTGCAATTTTTGGTATCATTAAATAATATTTTTTATAAAAATCAAATTTTTTCAAAAATTAATTTCTGAAATCTTTTTTCATATTTATTTTATTGTCTTTTATATCTTTTATTACTTTAGGTAATTGATGTAATAAGTTGTTTCACTTATGATCTATATGAAAGGCTTGTTATAATCAATATTAAAGTGATGTTTTCTGAATTCCATCTTAGTTTTTTCCCCTTTGTTCCATTATAAAAGGATTATAGCCAGGATCAAAGTTTTCATTGGCTGCTAAAGTTTCAAATTGTTAACTTAATCAAAATAAGGAATTGATCTTGTCGTGGAAATTTTTTTTCAAATAACATTCGCCATTATTGGTTAGATTCGCTCCTTTGGCTTGTCGCACTAGACAAATAGGCCAGGGAGTCTTTTGGCGATAGAAGTGAGCAGCCAGCATCTTGCGAAATTGTTGGCCAAATTTGCAGCTATAAGTGAGGATTGTCCTCAATGTGTTCAAGCAGAATCGATCACTATCTAAGGAAATGAAAAGTACCAGAGACTTTAGACTTTCTTTGTGAATCATCACGCAGCACTGATACGCTATCCAAGCTCGATTATATAGTCGTTTTATTGTCGATTAAAAAATGTCGATTAAAAAAATATGCATCCTAATTTCTTATAACCTGCTGCTTTGTCGGTCGATCAAAAAATTTCATGTGCAAATGAATTATCATTGTTTCATTCTATTAAAATTGTTTCTAAGCCGCGAATTTTGCATCATCCTTACTTCACTGTTTCTGCAAATAGCGATTACAGACCTCTCGCTGATATTTCAATATCATTCAGCAGATTTCATGAATATTCATTTTCATACTCGGAAGACTTAAATTCATTTCAAACATTTTATTATTGCTTAATTAATTTCAAGTTTTAGGATTTTTTAATTTCTTTTATATTCAGATTTAGGGTTTTAATCTATTTCGATTATCGGTATCAAAAATATTTGCAAAAAAATTATAATTTTTTTACTTTAAAATGCTTATTCATGCGGGCAAAAATTTTTTGAATATAAAAGAGTATGAAAGCATTGAATATGAAAGCATTTTAACAAAAGTACTCTTTTTTCCACAATATTTTTCTCGACAAGATCTTATCGCTCGCGTGAATTGGCTGGCCAATTTGAAAATTTTTTTTAAATTTTTCTTATTTTAATAGTTTTCCAGTGAGACTGTGCAATTTTTTATCTATCAATTTTATTCTTCTGCAATTTTCCTCTTGTATCGTAGCAGTACATTTATAAATCATTTATATATGTTTGCTTTCTTTTACGGCATGTCTATTTGATTATTTTCTTCAGTTGACACATAATTTTCCCTCTAGATTTGTGTATTCTTCGTTGCACATCATTTTCCACTTTTATTAATTTGCTTATCGATCTACGCAAAAATCATTAAGTTTGCGAACCAGTTTTTTAGAACAATTGTTGAATAGCTTCCATTATCATTTCTTGTATCAAATTGATCGGTCAAATTAATATTAAAGAACTGCCTACCCAAAGATGTCATTAGATTCTGCTACTTTTTTTAAAAATTAAGATGTTAAGATAAAACAATCGTCTCTAAATTCGAAGAAAACATAAAGAATTTTTGGGCTCATTTTATTATTTTTTGTGAATTTGTGGCAATTTTAGAATGGCAAATTGTTCCAACTTTTTTGACATTTCTAAATTTTTTTTAAAGCCTTGCTCTTTCCCAATTGTTTTAAGTGATTAACGGTAAAAATCATTTTTCTGAGACTTTTTATGGGTAATATAGCAAATTTTAGCAAAATTCCGTTCAGTGCTCACAAAAAAACGCATGTTTTCGAGAACTAATCAACTATAGACCTTTTTTCTTTTGACATTTTGTCATAGTTGATCGTTATCTGATATGATGTAATTTTTAATAATTTTTATGTAGAAATATTCTTTATTTATGAATAAATAAAGGTATTTACCAGTAGGCTTATTTCTCTCATTGTTTATTTTATTTTTATATAATTTTTATAAAATTTATTCATTTAAATTTATTTGCCCTATGAACTATTCGTTAATAGATCGATTTCATTTAGAGTTGGTGCGTTTTTCAAATAAGAAACAGATTCCCTAATATTTTTGTACACCATAAAGAGCTTACAATAAGCCTTTATATATATCAGAGAATAATATGTGTTTCACTGTTTTCGATAAATTCTTTTAAAACATTGACCAGTTGATCAATTTTCAAAGTATACTTCTGTGCATCTCTAAATCCTGACAGGATTGAGGCTTCTACTGGAAATTCAGGTGTTACTTTGGTGTTACTTTTATTTTCTCTGCAGCGTCATTGACAATCAATTGATAATCAGTGAGTCTAATGTGAAATGCTGGACGTTATCCATTTATTTACTTTACTTATATAACAAATTTTTAATAACAGTGACACAAACAAAGTTAAGTGAAATTAAAAAATATGGCTAAATTATACCTCTCGAGTTATCTGCCTTTTAGCTATTATCGTTTTCATACAGCTTTTTCGGTAACGAAATTTGTTCGCTCTTGCATATCTCAACATTTCAACTTAAAATTATTTTAGGATTAATAGAGTATTTTAATTGGTCTCTATTATTACAATAAAGTTGAAGTTTAAACTTTGCAAAATTCCTAATTCTCATTTACAATTTTATAGGTAAATAGTGAATGAGGATCAATCATAAAAAATGTTGATAGAAAGTACGCAAAATCGCAAGTGCGTTGAGGAAAATGAATGCCTTGATTGATATCTTTTTATACTTTTTATTATATTTTTATCCACGCAAAAATCGTTTGTGTTCCAATTATTTTTCCGCAAGAAAAGTCATCAAATCCAGAAAATTTTGTGATATGAAATCCATCCGTCAATTTGTTCCCGATGTGCCGCAATGCTATCATTCTTACCAAACTTGCAGTTTGCTTAAGCCAAGTTATTTAAACGTGAAATCTTGAAGTAAAACATAGTGAATGGATTTCACAGTAGTTATATCACTAGTTTAACATTTAACATTTTAACATTTTATTTTTTACCGTCAATTTATCTGTATTAGCACCAGGATTTTAATAATATCTTTTTTTCTGGTTGTTTGCTACATAATTTTTTTTGAGAAACATTTTTTTATCACCCGCTGATAAGATGGAATTTCAGTCAAATATCTCTTAAACGTTAATATTATTTAAATGTTATTTTTCAATTCGAATAATTTTAACAAATATTAAATTTCGATGTTGATTGCAATGCATCAGTTATTTAATTCTAATGGAAATTCTGAAGACTACTGTCAGTTTTAAAATATTTTAAACTGGAGAAAAGTACCAAATATTATATTTAGAAAGTCATAATTGTTGCAGTAAGTATGTGTGGTAGTAGGATGCAAAATTTTGAATTAAAAATGAGTTAATTGATGCTTAAATTAGATTCCTTTTAAAAATAATTTCTGGCCCAAGTTATAGGGCTGATAAAGCATCAGAATTCTGCGGCTAAAAAATTGGAAAGATTCATTTGCCAAAAAGGATTATTTCATTTTTCTTCATTACAAAGGTTATTCCTTCCAAGAGCCCTTTGAGTCTACTATTGTAATTTCATTCTTTTTTTCAGCTGGAGTGCAGTGTAATGGAACAATATCGTCAGCAGATGCTGCAGCTGAATGGGTTTCAGCAATCAAGCAGGCGCTTATGCCTGTCAAATCTCAGTTAAATACATGCGCTACACCTGAAGATGTACAATGTGACATGGCCCAGTTGAATGTTCCCAGTCCTGGTCAGTTTTATTATTTTCTTGGCCACTTTTCACCTTTAATTCTTAGCACGCTGTATAAACGCAAGCAATATTTTGAGTATCAACGAAAGTATCTAGCAAATTGTAAGTTCTGCACTTCGTTCCCTATAAATTCTTATAAAATGCTCACAGGTGAAAATTCTGCGCGCATATTTCAAGTGCACTGAGTATCATTCATTTTGATTATTTTTATTGGGTATTTATTTGCGAAATTCATGCAGTTTTATATTAAATCTACAAAATTTTACTTATTACTGCAAATGATCTTTTTTTTAAAGTTTTTTAGGGCAAATTGAGAGGCCAATTCCTTTCTTTTTCGTATTCAGCGTTCATTTTTCAATTTTAATTTTTATTCGTCCTTGATGCTTAATTAAATTGTTGGAAGATAATTTGAATGCATGCAAAATAGATTGCAAAATCAGGCGATAGTTTTTTCGAATTGCAATTTTTATGTCAAATAGGTGATCAATTGTTTATCAGTTGTTGAAAAAAGTTCAATTATTGTACGAATAAAATGTTGCTTGGAGAATTACTTATATTTTCTTCTTTTTTAACCATTAAATTAACCATTAAAGGGAAAATTGATCTTCATACATATATTTTTGCTAAAAAAATTATTTTCAGCTGTAACGGGTCATTTTGGGTCAAAAATTCAAAATGAACAAGAATTTTCACAGCTCTATCAAATATTTGCCGATGAGATACTTGGCTCGGGTCAATTTGGAACTGTTTATGGTGGTTTGTGTTTTCATTCCTAATTTAGCTATTTCTATTTAATAGGTATGAGCAATTTTGTCTAAGTGACTTATTCATATGAAAAATTTGGATAAGATTTTTTTAAACATAAATTTTAAGTTCGTCTTGAAGTTGCTATAAATTACTTTTCTATTTTATTATTCAATATTAATATTCAACATTAATTCGGAATATTTATTATTATAAATTATTATTATAAAGCAATAAAATAATTTCAAAACATTCATTATTATAACGTAATGAAGTGACATTGCCATTTTTTTTTGCACTTTTATCTCATAGATGGCTCGACAATGGTTCAGTGTAGACTGTATGGTTCAGCGCTTAATAAAGCTTAGTCTTTATCTTGCAATTTTATATTAGAGTTGAAATGAACTCAGCTCTATAAATTTGAACTACATTCTGTACATTCTGTACATCGTTGGTATTCATGAAGGTATTCATCGAAAAAGTGGGAAGCAAGTTGCTGTGAAAGTGATTGACAAATTGAAATTCCCAAGCAATAAAGAAGCGGCCTTGCTAACCGAAGTTGATATCCTACGAGTTGGTGATTTGTTCTTTTTGAATTAAAAACTTAGTCTCTTGTGGCATTATATTTAAGAGATTATAGGTAAGAATTATCTAACGTATAGGTCGCCGATGACAATTTTTTTGAAAGCATAGGTGATCCAGCGATATAGGCTTAGACAAAGGAAAGAAAAGGAATATTTGGAATCACTTATAGTCAACTAAAATAGGTTAACTATGCGAGTCATTAGAAAAAGAAATTAAAAAGAAATAACGATTTTTTTGGATTCAGTTCGAGGTGGTGGACACATGATATTTTATTTTGATTAAGATCAGCCATCATAAGTTCTATCTCTGTCCATTAATGGGAGCAGCATATCAATCGAGATGGTGCTGGGATTCTAGCCGTATCTGTATGCCCATATCCAAGTGGACCTGGTGAAAGAGCCTCATTTTAGCAGCCAGTAGAACCAGAACGGTGAGTGCTGTTAGGGAATAAAGAACGGAATCCCATTATTGCGTCATTTTCATTTGCGAACTCATTTGCCTAGTTCTTAGATAGTTTATGCATTTAAAGCAAGTTATTACAATAAATTAATAGTAGGTAATCGAGTTGTATGATCGATGTTATGATGAATTCAACGCTGGGCGATCGGTTTAAGTCTTGATTTAATAGATCGATAGATAAGTAATTTTCAAAAATTTAATAGAAAACAAGAGTTTTCACGCTTAAACTCTTTGCAGAAGGTTCATCATCCGGGAGTTGTTGGCTTCCAAGAAATGGTGGAAACACCTGAGAGAATATTCGTAGTAATGGAAAAATTAAAGGGCGATATGTTGGAAATGATTTTAAGTAGTGAAAAGGGGCGACTGTCAGAACGGATAACTCAATTCCTCGTTTATCAGGTATATCGTTTGTGACTTTTCTTTCGTCTGATATAGGTTAATTCGAAGCTAATAAATTTTTTGTTTGAATTAATTTCTGGAATGAAATAACGGCTGTTGTTTAAGAGGTTTAGCGTTAGTGGAATTGAATTATTCTATACGATAATCATAGCTATAATACAGTAGCCGAATTTTCATTTAAGCTTTTATCAAGATTTTGTGCAAATTTCGATTCAAATGCATATAAACGAGTTTCCAACATATTTATTTTTTTCATTTTCATTTTTTAGATTTTAATTTCTCTTCGATATCTTCATAACATGAATATCGTTCACTGCGATTTGAAACCTGAGAATATATTGCTGACCTCAGATGCCGATTTTCCTCAGGTATACTTCCATTTGTATACTTCCACAAAGCAGGCTGAAGCAAAATCACGATTTCCTCATATTTCATCGTCTTCTAATGATGGGTGTAGGCTTCGCTCTCTTATTTATTCACCTTAAATTTTTAAGCTAAAATTATGCGATTTCGGTTTCGCCCGTATTATCGGTGAGCGTAGCTTCAGGCGATCCGTGGTTGGCACTCCAGCTTACTTAGGCGAGTTTTTCTTTTTTATTAATCAGTTCTCATTTATTGAACTATTGGCATATTCATTAAAATTATATTAAATCGAATTCTGTTTAACTTTATTGACTAACATTTCTAAGTTCGCGTTCGCTGAAAATTGCATTTAATATTTTTAAAAGTCAAAAGTTTCAAGTATATAAGTATCAGTGAAATGGAATGCGGGAAATTTTTGTTTGTGTATTCTGTCGCTTCAAAATCTAATTTCGAGGAAGCATTAGCTCTTCTACAGCTCCTTAAAAATACGTCTCAGTGATGCAAACTTTATTTTAGCTCCTGAGGTTTTGAGGAATCAAGGATTCAATCGTTCATTGGACATGTGGTCAGTTGGTGTAATTGTTTATGTAAGGTCAGCTTACTATATGTTTGTTATTTGTGTGAATTTATAGACTTTTAGCTAAAAAAGCGTGTTTAATTATTACAATGATAAATTCACATTCCAGTTTGTCAGGAACATTTCCATTTAATGAAGATGAAGATATCAACGACCAAATTCAAAATGCTGAATTTATGTATCCACCCAACCCATGGAGAAATATAACTGCGACAGCTATCGATTTTATTAACGGTCTTTTGCAAGTTAAAATGAGCAAGAGACTGACTGTAATGAAAGCTCTGAGTCATGACTGGCTTCAGGTCAGCATTTATATTAACTCTATTTCTGACGAATCCACCCATGAACTGATTGATCAAAACAAATATTCAAGAAATGAAATGCTAGGAGATTAATTTACAGAATTATCATTTATGGTCAGATCTGCGGCGCTTGGAAAAGGAGGTTGGTGAACGCTTTTTGACGCACGAATCCGATGATGCGCGATGGACGGAATACGAAAAATCTGCTGGCATAAAACCCGAATATCTGTAAATTTTATTTACTGTCGGTCATTCATTTCTCTTTCTGGTAATATCTTCGTTTTTTCCAAAATTACTGGTATTTTTCAATAATGTTCGCAGTCATTCATACTAATTCATGCGGTAATTGAGTCTGATATGCTTTCTTTTTTTCGTGTCTTAAAATTAGTTGCATTCTGTTAGCTTTTCATTCTGCTTTTATATTTTCGATATTTGTTGATTATTTGATCCACAAATCCGCAGTCAACAAAAAGGCTCGAGAGATTGTTCGTTTTCTTGCTGTTTATTCTTATATCATCTTCCACTGCTGAAAATGATGTACTCAATAATAAGTTTTTGCTGTGGATCAGATAACTAATTTCTTGCATTACTTATGTTTATTTCTTATGTTTTAGCACATTATTTCCCAAATGGGTGGTATTGCATCCCGTGAGTGCTGCAGCGATAAGGAGAGGAAGGGCGATATTACTGGCTGAAGGTTTTTAAGTATATTTACCTACTTATGCAAGCATACCTAAAGCTATACAAAATTTAAATATTATACATCGTGTAATAATATAATATTATTATAAATATTGTAGATAACTCTAAAGTTAAAGATTTTTTTACCTATTAATAGATATTTCTTGAAGGGGAGGATGAAGGAAATTATCTTTGCGCACTTTAATAATGCTTCTTTCGCTTCTTCACCATTCAACGTTTTATTATAATTATTGTTTATAATTTCTATTTCAATTAATGAACGTCTCTTTGCGATAGCAGCGATTCATTATATTGAAATTTCATACAAATTTAATTCATGCTTTGACTAGAAAATTTGATTATTTGTTTATGGCAGCTGTGGAGGTAAACTAGATCGGTCAAATGGTTAATGGTTAATGTTTTCGCGACATTCATGATAGTGTTTCTGTTGGCTGTCCCACCTAACTCCCCTAATGTCTTTGCAATTCATCTTAAACTTTTATCTGATCCGTTAAGGCCTTCTGTTATAGTACAATGATATAAGATTACACGTTTCACATAATATGAGAGAGTCCTCACCATTACTGGTTAAACTCGCTCCACTGGCTTGTCACATACAGGGAGTCCCTTGGCGACAGAAATACAGGTGAGTCGCCAGCATCACTTGGATTTTTGCACAAGTTTACTCCTGCGGGGAATCGAACCTCAGCATCGGCGCTCCCGATTGAGCAATAACCCACTGAGCCATTCTATCCCCCACATACAACATTAGCTTCAAATAATTAGCCTTTAAGTAAAATATTGGTCCGTAGTCCAAACTCATTCAATGGAACTCTTGAAAAAAAACTAAGATATCCTGCAAAATAGCAAACGTTTTAAAAAACATTTTGGTTAGACCTCTTACCTAAGACTTTATTTACGAATTTAAAAATCTCCCTGGTCTTCTATACATTTAGAATTCGGCCCTAAATCGTAACCATTCGGCATATATGACTGAAAATCATTGCTGAACGCGAAAAGAGTACAAAATCACTTGTCTGAAAAAACTATGTCTAATAAAGTGCATTTACTTACTGATTTCATATCAACTTTTATGGGTAGATATTGTTTTTATTGTAAGAAAAATCTTTGATAATATTGTATGTCCATGTGATATGAAGAATAAGTTAAAATTTCAATTATAGATAAATTTAATTACTTTAATTCCATTTCCTTTGACAAAAAACCGAGATTTTTGAAATCATAAATTCAAAATTTACCCAACTTCTCATATTCTTTGAAAATATGACAGAATAACAAATCAGTTAACAGCACATTTCAATGCCAAAAAAATGCATATTTATTTTCCCGAAAGAATTTTTCACGTAAAAAACAAAAACCGACCTAGCAAAAAAAACCTAACAAAAAAGCGACCGACAATAGGGTTCGACTCTTCAACACTTTTAAGTACACATACGGAATTTTTTGAAAAAAAAAACAATTTTATAAACAACAGTAGAATTATTTATAATTTATAGAATTATTTATGACGATAAAAACCTCGACACAACATAACACGACATAAACTTCATAGATATTAACATGGGAAATTTCAATTCCAATATAAGAACTAATTTTCTTAGAGTGGGTCTAGCAAGAACAAAGGACAAAACGAGATGAGATAATAAACTAGCATATTCTACAAAAAATTTTCTATTCTTTTATCCAAATTCGGAAGAATGAAAAAACAAATGAACCAGAATCATAGGGCAAATAACCACTATCACTATAGATTAAAAAACAAGAAGAATACGATTAAGAAATTAAAAAAATTCAAATTTATTTTATAATGCAAAATGCGAAAATCATTTATAAACAATATGGAATTAAAAATAAAAGTTTTGTTATTTCTTATCAAAAATCCAAGTGTCTTTAATATTTATTACAACTTTACAAATGTGCATTAATAAATTAGATAAACTTCCGTAATCATATTTCTATGAATATTCATAAATAAATAAATAAATAAATATGTTAATATCAAAAAATTTGTATTTAAATATTTCTACAATGATTTGTGCAAAATTTTCTATATTTCGCTAGAAAATAAAAATCGAAAAGTTTAGAAAGAATCTTCTCGCCAACCAATTGCTTGTTTTTCAATCAATTTTTTAAACACTCCATTTTCAATGGCCATCAATTCATCATAAGTTCCACATTCTTTTATAGAACCTTTATCTAACACAGCTATCTGGTCAGCATATTTTATAGTTGATAATCTGGGAAAAAATAGTCAATTAAAGCGACAGGAATGATAAATTTCGAACACTTAAGTGAGGAAAAGAAAATTTTTTCAGCAAAAAAAAATTAAGCCTATGCCATCCAAAAACTTCAACTATTTTTTTGAAACCATTGTGACATTTTGCAAATCCATAAAGAATTGTTCCAAAAATCAACTAAATTCTGTAAAATTCTGAATAAAAAAAATGTTACCGATGTGCGATGATAAGGACGGTTTGCTTGCTATTTTCTAACAATTTGTATAGAGCGAGACGAACTATGTATTCACTAGTTGCATCGAGTGCACTTGTTGCTTCATCTAATATCAACATGCAAGGGTTCTAAAACGGGTCAGTAAAAAATCATTTAGCAGCATATGATATAAACTTAGGAAAAATTCTCACAAAGATTGCGAAAGTTTCGAAAATTTTGAAATTTTATTAATCATTATTAAAACTTAACTTAACTTAAAAAAAACTTATTAACTTAAAAAAACGAAAAACAAAACGTATATTGATACACGCTCCATAAGTAAAAAAAGTAATACATTGATCAACGCTCTCGCAATAGCTATCCTTTGTTTTTGTCCACCACTAAGCATCGTAGCACCTTGTTCACCAACCATTGTTTGAAGGCCATCTGGGAATTCATTAATAAATTCAATAGCATTTGACTGGATAGTAACTTCTTGTATCTAAAATCAAAGAAATAAATCTCTGGAACGAATCTATATTTTAAAATTTTAAAGTCCATATTTAAGTCCATATTTCCATCTATATTTTAAAATTTTAAATTTTAATGTGTGCACAAGCTTGACTATCTATTACACCCAAAATGCCGTACTGCTAGAATGAAAATAAGGCGAATGCTTATCAACAATGTCTAGGATACGAAACATGAAAAATTGCTTTCTTTTTTTCGTACTAAATCCAGGTTTAACGAAGAAATTATTAAATCTGCGCTTCCCAACCAACAAATTGATTATGGGAGTATATATGACAATTTAATAAATGAAAATCTGCAGTACCCGCGATTCTGGAATTGATTCAGGATTTTCTGCAGCATAAACTATATTATCGCGCAATGACGTTGAAAAAAGAACTGGTTCCTGCAAAAAAATTTCAGAATTTTCAGTATTTCTGAATATCCAGTAGATACTGATTAAGATACTCAAAAAAAAACTGAAAAATAAGATAATACTCGCTTATAGGTATCGTTTTCAATATTTCTGCAATGCCTAAGTGTATATAGCTCTACCAACTAATTGTATATATATCTGCTTTTCGAAGAATAAAACGAATTCCTCTTGTTCTTTATAAAATTTGAAGGAATTTCAAACTTGCTTGTCCGACGGTTCCTATTTGCCTGCGCCAAAATGATGGATCGATTTCCTTCAAGGGTGTATCATCAATCATAATACAACCGTCAGTAGGGTCGTAAAGTCTTTAAATTCACCAGAGTTACCAAATATTGCAAAAATATAATTCAAATATTTTGAAAGACATGAAAATTAGTGAAAATAGCATTAAGCTTTTAACGAGCGTAATTGTTTATCGAAAATCCTTTAGTTACCGCAAACGACTTCTTTTTTTATTTATTTATAGAAAATTGGAAATAGTGAAATAGCACCGAACCTAAGCAAAAGAAAAGCTATTGTACTCTTCCCAGAACCCGAAGGCCCAACAACTGCAGTAACTTTACCAGCCGGTATATGAAAAGATAAATCATGGAAGATTTTAGGCCGATCTGGATAAGCGAAACCGACTTGCTTAAAATAAATACCTTTCGTAATTCCTTCCTTCTTCACACCTCCTAAAATAGAAATTAAGGCATCGTTTTTTAGCTTTACTGTATTAAAGTGAGCATAAATCTTGCTGCAAAAAATTTTGAAAATTTATTTTTCATAAGATATCAACCAGAAACTAACCGCTTAAAGGAATAGCAGGAATTCTATTGCGTAGCTCGAATAAACGGGAACTTGCACCAAGACCTTTCATTAATTCAGTATAAAAAACACTTGTATTAGCGATGCTGGCAGCACAAAGTATAGCGTATAAAGCAAAGGAAGAAAGCTCCCCTGCAATGTGATTTTTGATTCTCGTCTTAAATTTTTTTTTAAATGGCGTATTAGTCTGGACTATATTCATTGTGACTTTTTGTGTTTTTGTAGGCTTATCATTTCTGGCTAGATTCGCTCCACTGACTTATCATAGTAGAGAAATTTAGCCAGGGAGTGACTTGGCGATAAAAGTACAAGTAAGCTGCCAGCACCACAAAAGTTTTTGCGACACAGTCACTACTGTTCGGAATATATTCCCAGCAAACGAAATGAAAACAGCAACCCATTCGGCCATCCCATCCTATTGACTGTGATTATGATTATGTAACTAAATATGCGATCTGATCTAAACTGGTACTAGAAATGGATTCAAATTCAGAACCTATGAAAATATTGCTTTAAAAATTAAAACGATAAAATATGTATTCTTTACCATACGTCAACAATCCTTGGCTGATTAACATGCTACCGTAGTACACGACAATAAGCAATGCCAAATAACCAGTAAACTGGTACTAAAAATGGATTCAAATTCAGAACCTAGCACTTTAACAATTTCAATATTCGATGACGTAACTTTATGAAATCTATGAAGTAAAATGAAGTAAAATAATACTTTTTCTACAAAATTTTTATAATAATCATATTATTGAAAAATCGATTCGTTTCAAATTGTTTTCTTATTCATACCAAATTCTTACCATTAAATTATGAAATTCGGAACTATTAATTTTTTTATATCTCAAAAATCTCAAAAAACGTTGAGAATAATTCTAAGAATTTGGGTATAATGCTTCATTTCATTGATATTGTAAATAAACTGGTATTGAACAACATGAAAGAAAGGATAAAAATTTTTCAACTACTTACCCCACCAAACATAATTCCTCTTGCCAATCCTTCGCGGCGAGACACTAACCAAAGTTCATATATTTTTTTTTTATATGAATCGAATTCACGACTTTCAGCGACCAACATGCGCACTGTATTTATATTCGATAACCTTTCAGTTGCAACCTGAAATATCAAAGAAAGTAGAGGATAAAAATAGATAGAGGATAAAAAAAGAATGCATTACTTAAACATTAATTAATTAAAGTTAAAACAATAAAATGAAACAGAAATAACCTGATTAGCATCAGCAACTGCCTGCTGCATTTGCACTGTGTATTTCCTCTGTAATTTTCCAAAGATGGCAAACGATCCCACGATAAGAGGAATCACAAACGTTGTCACTTTACAAAGCTGTGGCGATGTATATATCTAAAAAAAAATTTGCAGTGAAAAGGCACAATTTCATCTCAATTATTTAAAAACTCTCATTCCAACACAATACCTGCTATTTACGAATTATAACTGCATTAACTCTTCGTACAAAAAAATATTTTGAAATCTTGAAAGCCACAAGGAATCAGTAAGAAGTACCAAAAGTGCAGCTGAACCGGCGCAAGTTACTAGTGCTCGAGCTCCTTCAGTTAAATTCATAGACACTGAATTACCAACAATGAATGCATCTGTTGACAAACGGCTAACTATTTCGCCCACTTTATTCTTATTGAAAAATCCCATATCTTGGCACAATATTGATTTAAAAACTTTTGCACGCAAATCATTGATCACTAGTTGCCCTGAATGATAAAATATGCGCTCAAAAAACAAAATGAAATGAATATTTTCAGATTTTTTCAGAAATATTGTATAAAGAAAATTTAAATTGAAATATCTAAAAAAAAATATCTGCACAATATTAGTTAGTTATATATTAACCATCGCTTTCTATAACCCTTTTCAATCTATTTCAGAAATTAGTTCATGAAATTTTTTTCTAGAAACTCGCGCAGATTCGAAATATTAATGATAAATTTTTTTTCAGCTTCAGCTGAATGATATTGCAGAGATCTGAGCAAATGGTAAGCAGAAGAAGCAAAGTCAAGATTATAATCGAAGAATGAGGTCTTGCGTCGCGATAATGTATAATTACACTTCTTCTTTTAGCTACTGCATGAAATTTGTTCTTGAAGATGATTGAGTTGCACTTAGATATCAGAAGTGACAGCCTGACATGACAATTCGGATTTGAGCAGGTCATAAGGAATTTCTCACCACACACACAGTAATACTTCATTTTCATCATCATTAACAAATCTATTCGATTGTTTAGAAAGAAGCGAATCGAGATCATTGAAGCGCGTGTTCTTCGATAAAATGATAAGGAAGCTGAGCACCAGCTTATCTGACTTTCCTATGGCTTGAAGATGAAAATGATTTGCCTGTGACCTGCTTTTTTAGTGATTTTCATTCGATATTTGTTTTGGAGCGCAAAAAATCTTCATCAACTTTTCAAGATCCACCAGGCCTTTGGGTGCCCTGTAAATTTAAAACATCACTTCTCCACTTCGAAAACCACCTCTGACACTCCCTCACATCCACTTCTTTCGCATATATTTCGCTGTTAATAAATTATTTACCAGATGAAATTCGTTAAACATGCAATGCAAATATTCTTTAAAAAGTATTTACTGGTCCATTTCACAAATTTTCATCAAACTTAATTAAGTGATGTAATGACACTAATATATAAACGTAAGAAATGATTTGTGCTTTTTTTTTTGTAGGAAACCACTTCATGGAAAATACATCTTAGAAAATAAATCATTCTTCATTCGATTCATAATGTTCACGATACTAGCAAAAATAATTATAAAAAACAGAAATGAAATGAGAATAATTGTTACCGGCTGTGTGCATGCAATAAGTTCGACCACATATCGCTGCAGCTCCAATAAAAAAAACTCCAATTAATGCCAGTGGATGCGCCTTGAAATATTTGGCTAATTTTAGGGTAAAATCATCAATCCTTACTTTCTTCGTTTGATCCTCATTCAGTTCATCAATGAGTTGTCCAAGTACACGAGGAACGAATAAAAATATCGTAGAACTGATACCCAAAAACAATAATCCAACTGAAAAATGCCTTATAATTCATTATCGAATCAATTTTCCAAGAAATATTAAAATTTGACAAAAATATTTTCTATTGCCTGATCGTTGTTAAATAGACATTTTCTCTTTTTAACCTTCTGATTGTGGTTGAACCGAAAATATTTGAGAACAAATCTAGAAGAAAATGAAGAAAAAATAACGAAGCAACGTTTAAAAAAACTAAACTTTCATGGAAAATGACGCAAAAGTCTAGATAGTATGATTATATCGTTAAAAATTACTTTATTACAATATCGTTAAAAATTATATCGCTAAAAATTACTTTATTACAATATCGCCATTTAAAAATCAATTGAATACATTAATAAAAAAACTAACGGAATATTCGTCCTTTGTATGGATAAGCTAAAGCAAATATGCTTCGCAAATCTTTCCATGTTGCATCACGCAATTTCACAGATTTCCGTTGACTTGATGTTTCTATCTGAAACTTAACTTTATAATTTTATAAGAAAACAATCTATTTTGTGCAAATTTCATTCTCGATAAATCTAATCTAAATTTTTATATACTAACCGTTCTGGTTAAACTCAACAGACATTTTTGAGTGGAACTAAACAACAATGATTTTCGCCCATTTAAACTATTCCAAAAAGTTTGCGATAAAAGGATGCACGGTGGTCTGAAAAATAGCTCAATTTACGGAAAGAGACTGTTGATAAGTAGGGCTATAAATTAAGATATAAGCTATAAATTCAAGTATTGCCAGTTACTCCCCTTTCGCTCCCCTTCCTTGTTTTCGCCAAAAACCTTTAAGATTGGAATTTGGACAAATTAGTACTGATATAACCAAGTAATCAAATTGCGATTTTATTAGTAACTTACCGAAAAGTTGAAGATATCGATGAATTACTGGAAAAACAATATTTTAATGGAAATAAACGCCTAGAAATCAATCGATTCATGGCGTTATTTCTAAAATTTTTTTTTCAATATCAGAGCTAAAAAAGTACAAAATCCATTTAAAACACTATATTGTTAACACTATTTCAGCAAATACTCGGCCAAAAGAAGCTGTAAAAAAAATAAAATAGTTAAGTCGATTATTTTGCAAAAATATCTGCAAACTATCGAAAGCAAAAGTTTCTGCCAAAAAAATCTAAAAATTTAAATATAAGGCGAAGATCCTGTGAGACATCTCCATCCAGACATTCAAAGAAATACTGGTCAGTCAACTAGATATCATGATAGCAAACAAGAATCAGAAATCAGCACTTGTGATGCAATACCAGGAGATAGGAACACCACGAAGAAAGAATATGAGAAGTTACAGCAGGGATGAAAGGGGAACTAGAGATGTGGAAAATAAAGGCCAAAGTAATTCCAGTAATAATTGGAGCATCTGGAACTGTGACCCATAAACTAGAAAGCTAGAGTGGTTTCAGCGGATTCCAGGAATCACAAGATCGAAGATCTATATCCAGAACAGCATATCAATGAGGAACAGCTAAGATATTGTGCAGAATCTCCCAGACCTCTGGCAGAAGACCTGAGGTTGAGGACGGTTATGACTGCCCAAATGGGATGAAAAGTTTTCCTTTTAGGGCATTCTAAAGAATAATTCAAAGAACTTAGCCTAATGATTCTCTTTCTAATTTAATTTAAATAAATTTTTCACAAACACTAGAGGAGATTCAATAAGTTATTTAGGCTAGCAATAGTGGGAGACAGCTAAATCGACAGCTTCAAACAGATGTTTGCACGTTCTTCCCCTCCCCTACTTCATAGTAGTGGTGCAAATACTTAAGACTATTATACTTACCACTTCCTGCCATTAATTTCCTTTAACATCAACCACTTCCAGCATCTCTCAACGACAATATAGCAGCCACTTTCATCACCGTACAAACTGATTATAAAAACGCAGAGAATGATAAATGGGACATATAAAAGATATATATAAAAGATTATAGCTTTGGGGTGAACAAAAGAAATTTGAAAAGTGAATAAAAGAAACTTGAAATTTGACGAATGGAGTATATAACTTAGGAGTATATAACGATATCCGAGTGGATGTTAAAAGCATAAAGCGAATTTTAAGCAGTTGTTCAGAGATCACCGTTTTGCCCATCCCTAGGACGGGTTTTTTCACTAGTATGCAAAACACCTTATTCGCCTCGCCATTTCGCCCTAGCTTGGTTTCGCCCCACACCGGGATTTTGTAGTCTTCCTCCCTCATTCACGCTTCTAGTACTCGCTGGTTCACTGATATCCATGCAACAGGAAAGAATCCTCAATTAATATAACTGCATTTTTGAACATTGCAAAAGAATACTAAAAGAGACTCTTTATTTTCTGAAAGTACTTTAAAGGATGGCCAAATCAAAATGAGAAACATTAAGAGTAAAATAAATATGGTTTACGAAATATGGTTTACAAATGTGTGAATTATAAAAGTAAAAATAAAAAATGATTGCATATACACTATACGGTTTCTTGACAACCAAACAGTTTTATTTTGACTTCTTACAACCGATTAAATAAAATATTTGGCAACAATGTAATAATGCAAGGATCAGTTTTAACTCTAAAATATATCTAAAAAAACGGAAAACTGCCGAATATTTGAAACATTTACATTTAGTTTACTTTTTGAAAATAATCAGTTTTAACGCAAAAGAAAAATTTATCCAAATAAATGCACTGTCTTATATTGAGAATTCATCATACGAAATAAAGCAATGAAATATAAGCAAATAATAAAGCTACGCAACTAAAAGATAATTAATAAAAGATGAACAAGCAGAATAGTTGAGTGGCATGTGACGGCGAATTCGATGGTTCCATTCGCATCGTTGACGAGAGTACGCCGTTGAAAACGGAATTCTGCTCGGATATCCATTTGTATTTCTATCTCCAAGTAATTCTTCGAGGATCTCAACTTGGAAATCAGTGGAACCAATCTAAGCACTGCCACCAGAAGGTATCAGAAGAAATTCAAAAGACCAGTTGCCAATAACTATCTTTTCTCGATACTCGTAAAAAACGAGGGTAATAAAACTATACAACAATGGAACAAATAAAACGCTGAAAAAACGAAACAATACAAATATTTAAAATTTCTCAACCTTAAAAAAAGCATTAGCGTTGTATAGCAACTGAGACCGCTTTATAGCAGTTCATCAAAAATGCGAACAATCACGGCCGCGGTCATTCGCCTAAATAAACTGCAAAATGCAAGCCGAGGAGCGAACCAAGCGAAAATGGCACGCACATCGGCGATTTCAAATCCGTTAATACTGCTCCTTATCAAGCTTTATTCTTCGTCTTGCTTTTTGTCGTTAATTAACATCGCTCACCGTTTATTTATCGTTAATTGACATTTTAATTACCATTGTTTATTATTTCAATATTATTTCAAAATAAACTCATCGAAGACCCACCGAACGACAACCGAAAAAATCATTGAAATTAGCCCATAAAAATAAGAACTGAAATCATTTCAAAAGTGATTTATCAATTCAAAAAAATTGCAAATTAAAAAACAAATGATTGGTAAACCGATCGATCCATCGATTTATTTAAATCGGTGAAAGAAACTACAAAATGAGGGAAATCGCTTCAATTAAACTTATCAGTTGAACAGAACTTAAAATTCTTCGAACTTAAAATTCATAGAATGAAGGCTCAACTAAAAATGAAAATGAACGGTTCCCGCTCACCATTTTCTGTTTGCCTCATTATTAGTCAAGATTTCTGGCGAGATTTCCCTATTTGGGCATAGAAACACACACGAGTCTCCCTAGCACTACGCGAATTTTTCGACAATTTTTTGTCGGAAGCAAGGTGCAAGTCCTGACGCAACAGCCATTCAGCTATCTCATCCCTTTCAGTTCTGACGGTGACAAAATAAAGAGTCAGAAAATCACTCGACTCTAATTTTAAAAAAAATACCAATTTCTCCTCGTAATTCAAATAAATGAATTATAAATAAGACAAATTAACAATTGCTATAGAACCATAATTTAATGTTTCATTCAAAATGATAACAAGCAATGACATAAAAAGAATATTTGGCTATAATAAATCGATACAACCGTCATTATCTATAAGAACCACAGTTATGGTTAAAAATTGAATGGACCGGGTAGGCGAAACACGAAAGTCGTAAAGGTTTCATCTTGGCGTCACTTTTTATTAACGATAAAAACTACCATAACCTAGGTAAAATCTAGAACCGTTTCGTGTTTCTTCAAAAACAGTTCATACAATCGTTAAGAGTAAGAGAGAAATGTGATACAAACAACACAAAAACTTTTCGGATTCCAACTATTAAGACTGTTGAAGGAAAGACACAGCTAAATGGCGGTTTGGCGTTGACATTATTAAAATAATTCTTTTTTTCCCATAAATCACCTTTTTCCATCCGATAAATTTTCTTTCATCTTCCAACGATATTTCATACAGTTGAAAGGGATTTTTTGGGAATGCAAAAATTTTAAAACAATTTTAAACACACAAAGAAACGATAAAAATCATATGATTATGAATAAAAGTGAATACGAAAAACAAACGAAAAAGAAAAATTAATAAAATTACTCATATAAAAAGCGAAAAAAAAGAAAAATTCGATTAACGGAAAAATAACTAATTGAATATAATCGAATCAAAAAATTCGTAAAAGTGATGGGCAAATGAAAGTGAATAAAAAATGCCCTGAACATAAAAAAAGTAAAAAATTCCTTAAATTTATTCATGATGAGTATCAGAGAAATTTTCCGTTCATTTTTGTTAAAGAGATCATAAATTTGACAAATAGTTAAAAATAGAATAAATGTTTTGAAGAAAATTGAAAGAAAAACATATTTCCCGAATCCTAAAATGTGCGACATCTTTCGTCATCAACTTTTTCAATAGGGTTTATATGGCTGAAAATTAAATTCAATTAAATTCTTTATAAAATATTTCATTGGATTATTTCCATCCACACTCTGCTTATCAGATAAGCTTTAGTGAACAACAATGACATTAGCATGATCAAACAAAATCCGCGAGAGTCTCGTATATTAATGGACTAATAAAAACATTCGTCCCATTGGCGGGCAAAATCTGGCATATCCACATATATCTCAAAATATCTTCCCAAAACGCTCCATCGAACTTTTGTCCCTACAATTTTTCTCAAAAGTTTCCAAACCTCGTCCTTCGATGTCAAGTCATGCTATCTTTTGCAATTTTATTGATCATAAAAGATCATTTCGAGGCCTGATAGCACACTATCAAAAGTGGGTGACCTTGAGATGTCACGAATGCATCTGAAGCCGTTAAAATATCATAAAGTAGTTTAGGTTTAAAAGGTTTAAGATAAGGCCATTAACAGAATATCGCAAAAGAGTAGAGCGAAACCTTAGGGAATATCAAAAGTACTCTACGGAGTTTTGGAAAATTTTCACGAAATGTTGTAAATTTCAAGGGACATGAAAAACTTTCAACAAAATGGATAACATAACAAGTTTTTAGAGAGTATTAATGAGCTGCAACAAAAGAACACAAAGGGTCTAGCAGTACGTTCGGGAATTGAAAGAGCCGATAAAGTTCAAGGCAGCTCAGAGATATGCTGCTGTAGATGGAGTATTAAACATCACAAGCTTCAAGGAATTTGCTAAGAGAGTTTACAATGGTGTATTGTGGCTACTGCAGTATAAGAAAGTGTGAATTTTTCAAAAAAATCAATGGAGCATGGTAAAAGAGCACAGTGAGGTTTGATGAAGCGTTAAAGTAGAATAATTGAATTTCCAGAGGTTAAAGGAGGTTAGCAATTATGGGGATTTACTAGAGAATCACAGCCAGAGCTCAAAGTGGATTCGTGCAGCACAAACTATTAGCACAGCAAAAAAAATACTGGGGATGGACGAGGTGTTAAAGGTAAACAATAGATATTAACAGAAAGCTTAATGGACACTGAGGAAAATTTCTATAAAATCCATATTTCTTGCAGGTTTTTGAGGGCAAGAATGAGTTTTTGCTAACACGCACACGCAAACATATCATTATATCATTAAAATATTGGAAAGATATATTACATCATAAATTAATGGCATATAAGTGAAATCGTAAAAAGAACTACTCTTTATCTACACCAATGCTTACCTCAAAGACTGATTCAAAAGCTCGTAGATTGCCGTCATCAGTATAAGATTGATCAAACTGCCCATTACTAAAACTATTAGACGACGATTGCCCTGAAATTAAACGGAATACGTTATAAGCTATCAATAAGCTGAAAAATAATAATAAGCTGAAAAATGCAATAAATTGCCAGTTGCCAAAAACAGAGAACAGGCATTCGATTGTGATCTCTTGAGGGAGATATATGTATCGTTAAAATATCCGAATGGATTGTGAGGACCACTTCTCTTAAACCAAATGATTCTCTGGTGAAAGAATCATACTAATGCCCTCGCCCCAAGAATCAATGATACGAACCCAAACCAAAAACGGTCAACGCATTGTTAGAAGAATTAATAGAATTTGCGATATATAGCGACAAAGATTTATGGTTAAAACCAAAGAACGATCCAAAAGTGGTTCGTTTTCATGATTTTCGCTTTATCGGATAAAAAATCTTCAATTCTTAAAAAAAGTTGCGACCTTCCGCAGGTTGATTATGCTGTAAAGTTTCGCTTCGATAACTAAGCGATGTCGGATCCTCAAAATTATCGATGTAAAAACGATGATAATCACCCAATTCGGTATCCCAGCACTTTAGATCTATAAATTTTTATACATTATCATTAAACAACTTTATGAGCATTGATTATTGAAAATTAACACTACTGCACGAAAAATTCCGCTATTTTTAATTTCTTGCGATTTATTTCAGCACTGAAAGATAATTTTTCTCACCTATAACTCGACACGCCAAAAGTTATTTACTCCAGTAATGCTAATGTAACGAAGACTAATATGAGAATTTATAATGCATTTTAAAGCACAAAATAATCTAAAACAGCACTTTTCTGCTAATTTTTTTCTGCTATTTTTTCATGCTCCGATAGCAATTAAAAACAATTTTTCATCTAATTATTTCATTCTCCATAAAATTGTTAACGGTGAACATAACTCAATTTTTTTCGCTCTATAAGGGAAATTATTATTTTAATATGAATAAAAAAAACAAAAGGATCACATGAAGGAATTTCGGATTCTATTAGTGCCCTCCAAAAGTTTTCAAATAAGATTAATTATGACAAACAAATTCGAAATTCCCGCGCAAAATATTCCCTCGATAAGGTGAATAAATAAAGTTCAGATTGTCCAACCCCCCCCCCCCCCCCCCAACCTCGACGATATTATTTCTTGTTTCAGGCGAAGATCTAATCCATTTCAGAGCCTTTCTTTAAGCATTGTTATTTGGTAAGAGTGAAATCTATCAAGACAAATTTATCGAATAAAACAATACAAACCTAAATCATTACTCGACAAAGAAGTCATCATTCTAAAATCCCGTGAAAAGCGTGAGCGCAAAGCAAAACTGTCACTGTATCCCAGTGCTAACCTGGAAATAAAACATAAAGTTCGTGGTTCCTGATATGAAAAAAGGCGCCAAAATCTTTAATTAGCCATTCCAGCCAAATAGCCAAAAATTCGTTTCTCCTAAATTTTTTTCTAGTCTTAGCTTTTCAAAAAAAGAAAAGGGAAACATTGATTTATTATTAATCAATACAGATTTCACTGCAACTAATTTTCACTGGTTTAATACCTTAGAATGAATAAATTCTCAAACCATTCCCAAAGAATTTTACCTGAAATTTTTATTTTAATTTCAAAATTTTGACGAACCTTCTAATGAACTAGGCTTGTATAAGCAATTTTAGAAATAAAATTTAGGAAGGCTGGATTTCGGTAATCGATATATTACTGTCTCTCCATTTGAATTCATTGGTACTTTTCTAAGCCGTATCATTTTACCTACACTTATCATCTGCATTAAACATTGATAAATTCTTTCACGAAAAGCCCTCAAAGTTTCGCATTTTCATATTCGTAGGTTTTGTTTTATTTTAAATCAATACAAAATCAAAGAATTAAACTTTTAAACCATAAAAAAAATTATCAAGAAAAAATACTCGATACAATATTTTTCTTTCTTTTTTACTTTTCCCCTTTTTATAGTTTGCGAAAAGTCATAAAAAACCTAAAATTCGAGCTGGCTAGTGTGCAGTAACTTGTTGCTTTTAATCCTACGTAACTCTTTGTTTTGGTTATCTTTATATAGTTATCTGCACTTTCCGATATTCTATTTCGGTGACACATGTGATAAATATGCGAACAGGAGCACGATAAAAAAGTTCAAAGGACTCAGAACTCTCGAACCAAGACAACTACAAAAATCTATCGTACTATGCGCAGCCAAGTCTTAACCGTATCAGCCCCAGAATATTTAGAATATCCCTTGCCTATCGGTAGTCCTTCTTCACTTTATTTCCGATCTCCTGCAGTTCATTTGGCACAAACTCAAAGATACCAATAAGTTCTATACAGGGGCTTCAACTGACACAAATGACTGACAGAATTTTTTTATAAGATCATTCATTCAACTTTATTCAAGCATATTATATTTGCCACAACATGAAACATTCGTATAATTTTATATTTTCTATCTTCAAGTTCTAAATTCTCCTAAGCTTAGATGAGGGATGATAAAATCATCATTGAGAAGTTGTCGTGAAACATTTCATCGAATTAACTGCCATCAGCATATGGGTTTAAATTTTTCTGACTTCAAAAGAAATTGAATCTTATGTTCTTGATTAGGAAGAAAGCCATAGTCAGGGGAAACTGAACTGTTAAACAAAATGATACCATACTGGATTCGTGGTTGGCAAATATGGTGTTAAAATCTGCTACAAGTGGAGAACGTCTTCTTCATTTTGAAGCACAGACTTTTTGATATAAATACATGTTTCCCAAGGAGAAAACATTTGTAAGAATTCTGCACCAGATAATCGTTCCTATCGCGAGGCTAGAACTGGCAAGCTTCATGAATCTGATGTTTCCGCATAAAGCTGACGACGCGCAGGCAGAACGAAAATCTTTAATAAGGAGTACACATTTCGTTTCAAAGTCAAGCCAAAAGATTTGGAGGCAGTGTGCACATTTCAAACTGAATTATCGAAATATCTAAATGATATATCAACGGCACTTTATACAAATTTGTCACTGAATGACTATGTCCATTTCTATAACAAATAGCCAGGACAATGATGAAATTCCAGCTCTGATGGCTGCAGCTAAGAATGTTTTTTTTCACTTTTGCTTTCTAGAATTGCGTCACCATCGGAATGGAAGTTTATACCTATATGAGCGCAGTGCGCATTATCGTATATGACTATGAAAAATGGCCAATAAAAGCTATCAAGGAGCTAACTTTGAATAACCATGTCGAGAGTATTTTATATGCTCATCAAACTAATAGAACCTCACATGATTGCATCCATCTTCGCTCGAATCTTTCTTGCATTAATAATATGCTTGCAAAACGTCTCCTTATCATGTTCTTCATCTCTAGATGGATGATATCAAAATCGAGGACCAATTAAGACCAAAACTAATACAATCAGAAGAGATTTTGAATGTATAGGCAGTTAGCAATATATAAGCTTAGGAAAAAGAAGTATCCCTTTCTAACCCTTTCAGATACGGTATCAGATCGACAGACTTGTAACGACTTCATTCTCTTAGCCAGCAGAGTCAACCTAAAAGTAATGGCGCCAGCAATTGGAAGTAGATTTTGATGTAAATAATTTAAGAGTTTACATTTTTGTTCGAATGCCATGTCTTTGTGAACCAACTGATCTGAATTTTCGTCTACCAAAAAGCTGAAAAAAAGTGATACAAAAAGCCAGCAATAATTAACTGGAAAATAATGAAAATCACGGCAAACGACAAAATTGCAACCTCAGTCCGAGCTTTTCTTGGTCTTATTTCAAGTTCACCGAGAACAGTTCGTTCATTTCCTCTTTTGATTAATAATATGTCTTTTGGTGCTTTCGAAGAGTGAACGGGAAGATTTTCCTGTGATAAAAAATACTTAAATTTTGATGAATCTAAATTAACATCAAAATTTGAAATAAGAATAAATATGAAATATAAAATGAAAAAACAAAAGAAACAAAAGTAAATTAAAGTATAAACTGAAAAACAGAAAAAATTAATATTGATTTTTCAAGATTTTTAAACATTTGAATTGCTAGTGATTTATAAAAGTGATAATAATAATAATAATGATAATAGTAGTAATGATAATAATAATGAAAATAATAATAACGTTAACAACAGTAATAATAATCAAAACACGAACTAAAAACTCAACGGGCGCTAATTTCGCTGAACATTCTTGCTTTTTTCTCAAAATAAAAAAATGAAAGCAAAAAAATTATTTTGGTATGACTACAGTTTTTTGAAAGAACAAATTTCTTAAATTTCTCGAATTTGTTAGACTAAAATTTTTATTTTTTCCCACGAAAGAAAAAAATTAGTTTACAAAAATTTAGCGCGCAATTTTATTTACACTAACATTCTCGCAGTTTACGAAGTGAATGAGGTAAAATTTGCAAAATTTTTTTTCAAATTCAACAACTAAATGAACCTTATTCCAGTTCTCTTCATTGTCGTCAAGCGTCATCGTTTCCGTTCAATCTAAATTTTATTTAACTATAGAAATTCAACAACAAAAATGTGAGATTTACGTTCTTGTTCCAACGCTAAATGAATGGCAAAAAGATGTGAAGCATTGAGTCGTATATCGGTTTGGCTTGTGCAAGTAGCAATGGGTCCGATTCTTGTCGTTTAATAAGCGTCAACTAAGCAATAAAACTCGAACCATAAAGGGAACCCACCAATACATTTTACCCCTGTGCGGCAAGTACTGAGCCGCGCCAAACTAAAAATGGGCGAAAAAGATAGTTTTTTTTTTGCTTCTATTTACTAATAGAAAAAGTTTTGCGAAGAATTAAAAATAACTTTAAATCCGACTTAAATTAGAATTGCACGATCTCAAGCAATTGCTTTCGACCAACCGTTTTGGAACTTTCATATTACAATGGTCAGTTCGAGAAATTTAAAAGCAAAGGTTGCGGATTCCTCATTTTCAATTTCTTCCGAAATTTGCAAATCTTATTCTAGTAAAAATTGTAAATTTCTCCCATAGAATAGAAATTTATAATAAAAAAAAAAGAAAGCAAAGTGTATAAATAAGATAATTTTTGGATGAAAATATAAAAAATTCAAATTCAGAAATTATTTTTTTTTAAGTAAAATTTCCAAAAAGTAATCCAATGACGTTTTCAAAAAATTTTTAAAAATTTTTCCATTTAGAAATTGTAACTTGGAAAAAACTACAAAATTATTATAATTTAATAAAATGATTTTATTCTTTACTGCCGCATTTACATTTTATTTTATAATTAAATAAATTTCCTGTGCGAATTTTCTATTTTAATTTCAAAAAATGCTTTTCATGATTATTGATTTTTCTGGATTTTAAAATTTTTGAATTATTACGGTTTGAATTGAATTATTATTAATAATAACAATAATGATAATAATAGCAATAATAATGATCGTAGTTAGAAATAATATTAATAATTACTGTTTATAATATTAAGTATTAATAATTTTGTAATTATTGGTCATTACTACGGGATTTTAGGATTTTTAAAATCTGGACTTTTTTGATTTCAGGATTTTCGAATTTTAGGATTTTTAGGTTTTAGAATTAATATTAATACCTGGAAATGATAATCAATTATCAATAACCACTACTAATAAAAAAGATAAAACTAATTTTATGGAGAAAAAAAAATTAAATAAACAAACCGGAAGAAATGAAACCGAATGCTAAAATGATAAATGATTCACTAAAATCAGACATTTTTTAGCGCGAAAATGAAGAGTCGAAATGGATGGAGTTTAAGCGGATTTTGGCGCGAAAGAGAATTAATATTTTCAAAAAAATTAACTTTTTATGAAAAAATACATTAATAGAGAATAATAGAAGATGAAATGGCGATTCATTTATAAAATGTATAATCAGCTGATAATGATAAGCGAAAATAGCGGGAGAATGAAGAAAGAGAGAAGAACTTTTTTCATTTTCTACGACAAATATTTCCTGTAATCGCGAAAAGGAATAAGCAAAGCGAAAAAATTGAACGAGAGGAGTGCGAGAAAAAATAAGAACTGAAGGATTTTAAAAAAGAATTTCATGAAAAAAATTAATTGATTAAAATAGATATGAATTGAGATGGAAAAAAATGCGAAAAATTTTCGCTAAAGCAACTTATGAATTTATTTATTCAGATTGCAATTAAAAAAGAAAAGAAGAAGGAATAAGAAAAAAAGAAGAAAAGGATGAGAGAAGGAATTCGACTAATTTAGTAAGTAAGTAGTAACTTATTCATCCGACCAGCCACTAACTCTATCCATTACGTTTCCACGTAGCCATCATTCCATTTTCACGTCAGTCAACAATCCGCTTTCAAACTATTCAATGTCAATTCGTTTTCACGTCTAATTACCTTGATCATTTACCATTCGAATATTCCGTCCGCACTTTCATCCATGAATCGTTCTTCAAAATCGTAGCGCGTTTCGTGCCATTCTGGCTTGTAACCAACCGTTTTCGTGCCATTTTATGACCATTGTACTTTTCGCATTATTTTGCCGTATCACCCTTCCATTGTTCGCGACATTTCCCCTTACATCTATTCAAACTTTCAATCAAAACTTCCATATTTCCCGGTCCATCAGTGATTTTTGCCCTTTAAAAAACACCAAACGACTTTTTCCTACAAATTTACCGCGATTCTAAACAGTGCATTACTATTTTACGATATTTACGAAAAATTGCTTATTTTTTTTCCTCCTTATAAGTATGGAACGAAGCGAGCGCGACGCTCTTTTACAAAGCAAACAGATTTTCCATAATTAAAGTTAAATTTAGAGAGTTATCGATAGACGAAGATAATAGCAAGCGTGATAAAGTTTTAAGAACTAATGTTGCGGACCACTGCGAACTCACTTGCGCTTCTCCGCTTAAGCCTCTGCGGAGAGTCTAATTCGAAATCATATCCGCTGCTAAGCACTGACTCACAACGCAAACGTGATAAAGGGAAAAAATGAAAAACGAGTAGATTGGCAATTTTTTTGAAACAATTGTTGAGAATGAATTTAGGTCAAAAAGAGGGAAATGGGGTCATAATCGGGTAAAATCTAACACTATAAATACTCACACATTATAAGCACTCTTTTTTTATCGTTTCATCGACAAATGGACGCAACAGGTGCGCGGTCTCAACGTCTCCGATGTACGATTTTGGCTTCAAGGATAGTCCTTGTTTAACTCTATTCGCTGAAGAGAAACCGCGGAAACAATTGATGGTTCAGTCGCGCGTTACGGAAAAATTTGTAGCCAAAGGGGCTAATCGAATGAGGAATGGTGTGTCCCTACGAGAGGAAGAGGAAGGAGTTGAGAATTACCTCAATATGAACGGACTGGATAAAGTAAAAAATGACCGATCAACGATCGAATTTTAGCTCAAAAGTTAAAATTAACATTTGTATTAGGCAGTTAATGAATTTTTTAAAAATAGAGGGCACTGGTTTGCTGCGCAAACGAAATCTTACTTCTCAGCATTATTCAACATAGTTCTTGTCCAAAAGCAGAAAATCTCTGAAATCTGTAAATTTCTCTCCTAAAATTGCGACGACTCCTAAAATTTTTGCGAATCCCCAAAGATCTTTAGCTTATGCCGTTTTTATATACGTCAACGTTATTTGCTGTTTTGGAAATTAAAACTGAGAAATTTTCAAAAATACTGTTCATTGAAGCATTTCGCCTAAGACAAAGCCTTTGCAAATTTGCGAATGTGCAAGCCTTTTAAGCTATGCTTTTAAAAAATGAAGGAGGCGAGTAGCAGCATCAATCAGATTGTCCTAGGAATGGCCTTCGACTCGAGCATTGCCTAAGGATGCTCAATTCACGTTTCGCGAACCATTACCCCGTAGGACAAATAAAAACTCCGCAAAAATGCTATTCGAGAGTGATTAATGCAAGTGTTGCGTAGATTCAAAATGAAAATATTCGTTGAAAGAGGCGCTAAATTACGCAGAAAGTTGAAAAAACGAAAAATTTGATAAATTGCCTATCACATTCGATTATTCGGAGGGAGAAAAAATAAAAACGATAGCGGGAAAATTGAAAACCATCGATGATCGAGCAAAAGCAAATATGTAAAATGCGACGATAAACGTTTGTAAAAATTTGCGACTTTTTTAAGGAATCTTCCATAAACAAAATGCGACATTCCAGTATTTCTTTCGGCCGATTAATGGCGAGCTTAGAAAGCAGCATTTATTATCCGCGAAGGTTTCGTTAATGAAAGACCGGCTAACGAAGCGAGGCATAGAATTCCGCCAGAGAATCATTTGGGAATGGAAGCGGTAAATGCATAACAGCGCACGGACCTTTCCATCACACGTCTACCTTATTATTAGACATTGGCCGAGCCATAGCGCTAGAAATGATGATCCGCAGCGATGTGACGCACAACCTTTTACACATAAACGATTTCCTTTCTGCTCGGCAGGCCGCAGTGAAAAAGCAAGAATATTTTTCACTTTTAAACAGTTTTTGCAAACAAATTTATACTCATCAACCATTCAATCAATCGTTTCACTGAACAGATTTAAACTTTTGCGAAACACAATGAGTAATTCAGAACAAATCAGTGAAAACGCTAGGCCAGGATATACCAAACTGGCCATAACTGGTTCAATACTTGTTCAATTGTAGAATTCTCATTCGGTTGACGATTTCTGGGACGGACTCGTTGAATTCCATCAGTGAAAAAAATATAAGTGCTCCCAAGTAAAGATGAACAGATAGCCACGAATTCTCTCAATTTTGGAAAAAAAGGCACTTACAGAAGTTTAATAATTTTCTCGAATTTTAACTTCAGTTCTTCACTGCAACGCAGATCAATCAATTCAAGTTGTAATCCAACTTTTTCATAGAAAATATCAACAGAATTTGCAAAATCTTTAAAAAACATCTCATCGGCTTCGAAAGCGAAAATTTCTCCTTTAAAATAGTAATTTCGCGATATAACTGGCAATCTCAAATGAGGAAATCTCAATTGCTTGTATTTTTCAAAAGTTGCCTGGCAATTTGCAGTATGATATACATTTCTATTCTATAAATGACTTGAATAGCGATAAGTATGATACGCCGTACACCAAATCACGTATAAAACGAAGGGAGTCAAATACGTAACCATTTAGGATTTTCAAAATGGCAAACGCTTGAATTTCTTCAAACAAATTTTTCAATCTTTTATATCTTCAAATAAAGCTAAAAAATGTAAACTTAAATGTTGAATTTCAGACAAGTTTGTAATATCTGCAGAGGTAAAATAGCTTTATACGTGATTTGGTATAAATCGTATGCCAACTTCATCCAGAGGCGCCTTAAAGTGGCGCTGGTAAAACGCATGTGATTGCACAAAAGACACTGCAGCTGCAACGACTACAACATCTACAACACTATCGAATCCCATTTAAATTGTGCTGATGTATTTCTTTATCTCCGTTTGGATTCCTAGTACCATATGTTTGGAAAGAAAAGATACACTCCATTTTCTTGACCAATCGTTGCAGGTGCATTACGCCGGTAAATTTTGTGAGTTCCGATTCATAATTACCCAAATTGCAATAAAATTGGAGCTTATTGTTTGTTTATGCAGTTATGCAGTTAACGATTCTAAAAGTTCCTTCAGAGTTTGATTACGATACCGCGAAGAACTATGCAGTGGATGTTACATCTGTTGATTCATTAGCGACAAAGGAACAAATTCGTTGGAGAGTTCAGGGGATTTAATTTATGATTTGACACATATACAATTCGAGTTTGAGATATCACCTTACGACCTCAAACTTCGTCACAAAATCGATTTTGCACCAAAATCGATGAATAAACATTAAACAATAAACATTAACAAAACTACCATCCGTAAAAGGCATATCATTGATGATGTTGCAGCTAATCGAAATATCTGAAACTCACTTCAACGCCATTTTTAGACGCACCAGAAAATAACCAAAATTTGTTGAGCTGCTGTACCAAAACATTTTTCGGGAAATGTGAATGCTTTCTTTCAAAATGGCATTTTAAATTGGGCTTTTTTTGCATTTTGATCACAAATAGTGCACAAAATTTTTTTATTGCTTTGAGTAAAGTAGTATATTTCATTTCATTTAGCTCAAAAAACTCCACGGCCCTCTTCGATTTTTCGTTTCTTAGACATTTTCCAAATATTTTTTTCTTAATGAAACAAATTGCGAGGCAATTCAAAATGCCAAAATAAATAATTTGGAATTTGAAAAATTTAAAAAATATTTGAAAGATTTAAAAAATAAAAAGCAGAATGAAAATTTTTAATAGAAGCAGAATCCTAAGGTGTTTTAAAGGAAGTTCATGGTGGGTCGCCGGGCGGGTTACGCACCACTTCATTACATAATACATACTCGGCCACGCTGCTCCCCTCACTAATTTAAATTAGGCAAAAAACCTATTGCACCATAAATTAAAAATAAAGCAGAAAGCAATCCGCTAAGCGAGATTAGATCGACTGCCAGTTGATAATATGCTTATACGTTAGCAAATTCGGTGCTAATTCATCAATAGCAAAGATCAACTGAAAATTATGATCGAATCGTTTATCGCTTTATCTGACATCCGCTAGATTTTCTGCCTCGCGAAAGAAATAAGCCTGCAACTAAAAGCGAGAGAAGGGCTGATCCACTGCGGATCCGTTTCAACCTTCGAGTGCCTCTCTCAGCGAAGGGCACACGAAGGAGCGCCTTAAAAAACCACCCTTAAGCACCCATCGAGATTAGCGGATTTTATCGACTAAGTTGAGAAATAAATGAGAGATGTTTTATATTTTAAATTATTTCAAAAGCGATAGGAGAGAAATTTAATTGAACAAATCGCTGATTCGCATTCAAATTCAAATCATAAATTCGCAAACGTTTAGCGCGAAACGATGAATTGCAATTAGTTGGCTTCGCTGGTCGCCAATCGCCGATTATAACTTTTTTCCATCCATCATCATTTGTTATCATCGATGAACGACATGCAATCGACCATTGCAGCTCGCGCTAGGAAATTTCCAACGAATAAATAATTCCTCCAAAATTTTTCGAAGTTTCGAGCAAATCAGCTTTTAAATGAATAAAAACGCTTGCGCTTGGAGCCAATCTGAACTTCGACCGCCGAGTACTCTCCTCCAACGAACGAACGAGTTTTGCGAGTGAAGTCAGCTAAACCACAAGTGGTGATTGCTGGCGACTGACGATTTCAATTTTTGAGCATTTAGCATCTATTAAGCAATTCGAGTAAAACCATCGTAAATTTCGACAGTAAATAATATAAAATAATTTGAATAAAATAGCTTATTGGCGAGCGAAAGAATGAACGCATATTTCAGTGGTTTAAGAGATTTATTCGTAAAATTTATTTTACGAATTACGACATTAATGAAAAGTTAGTCCATTTTCAGTCACCGCAACTTTCAAATTCCAGAATTTTTAGATTTTTCAGATTATCTGCGTCGTAATTCCTCATGCAATGGCGTCGTCGAGTTCAGTCTATGGCCCACAATTTTATTAAATACGCTAAGGCGAATCGCTGTAGAAAAGTTGTTTTGCATCAGTGGGTCTGCATCCATCTGCTTGGGAACCACCACTCCATGTTATTCAATTTACACTACTTGTAAAATTAAGCTTTCTATTTATAATATTCATTAAATTTAGACACAAAACATTTGAAAACTAATATTTTAGATTCATAATATTCCATGCAAATGAAAACAAGCAACGACAATAACGAGGAAAAGGAAGGAGAGAATGGAGGGACGGATTGCGGCAGAAAATGTCGTGCTGAGACGAGCATTTCAGCTTCTGCGGAAGCCAAGCAATTCCATGGCAAAAACTCCTCACCAGAAAAAACCAGAAAGCGCTACCATTTATTCATCTGATAAATAACTAGCGATAAATTTCAAAATTATCGAGTAATAAAACAATGAATGATAAGGTGAAACCGATTTGAATATAATAAAAATGTTGACAAAGTAATGTGCGAGGCTTATAAAGTTTTATAAGATTATTGGATTGCCAAATACTAGAAAATTGAGTTGAACTGCCATCAAATTTGTAATATAGCGAATTTCTGTAATAATTATAATAAATAAATTACTGTATTTAAACAAACAATAGATTGAAGAAAACGGACAGTCGTTGTCTATGAAGGATCAGATAGTGATGGAGGCAAAAGCAGAATTATCGATGGTCGAAGAACAATGCGTAGTTAAAAATGGTGGTGGTCAGTGAAGGTCACATATGGTTAGCGGATATTTAAACTAGAAAAAAGAACGAAAGCCTCATCGTTAATGATCGCTGCTTTGTTGGACATTACGAAGATGATGGTATCACCACACATAAATGTTTTTATTATCTTATTTATAGTATATATCTTTGTTTTATAAAAATAATAAACAGTTTTTACGGCGATTTATTTAAATTTTCATTATAGCAATATTTAAAATCAAATTAATGGCACCACTTGAAATGGCACCAAAAGATGGCAGAATGCTTCGTCGAAGTGCAAGCAAGCAACATGGATTCCGATGGAAGTAAATATGCCATTGAAAATTATTCAGTGATAGGTATTTGGGTTTCTAGCTGATTCTCCAGTGAACGGGTTTCATAGTTGTAGCGAATGAAGCCAAAAGAATGATAGAAAACTAAATCAAAAAATATATGCCTGTAATTGATATGACAAAGTGAAAGAGCTAATCGTTTATCATCAGCGTTTGACCATTTTATGAAGAAAAAGAATTCGATGGGAAAATTTTTGAAGACTTTGAATTATATAAATTTTTAAATTCAAAATTGGATTACAAAAAAAAACGGACTGAAGATTTTTTAAAACATGGAAATAATCATTTGGCTTATATCATGCAAAAGCGATTTATAAAATGACAAAATTTTTACAAAATTTTACCTTCAAGAATTTTCGACTATAAGCAGATGTATAAAGCAAACACTACTCAGTTAAAGTAATGCATCATTTTTGGATACATCCGTCGACCTACGGGGGCAGCTGTTGAACGAAATGGCGCGTAAAATAAGAAATTTGATTGTAGACGTTGTATAAGGTCAGTGCTACAGGTCAGTGAATTTAGCGCAATCATCTACAACTGCTTTGTGATGAACGAAACATCTGCCTTTTGCGTGCTCATATTTTCAGTTTAAGAAGAAAATTTTAGGATGGAAAATCTCAGGATTTCCATCGATGGAAAAATGCCTTCATAAAGCTCTCGTCTTAGAAGCAACAATAGAATCTCTTTTCGTTTATATACATATTTGATGCAATCTCTTACGTAACCTCTTACATCATACAATTCGATAGACCTACATGAGAACGCATTATCTTCCTTATTTACCTTGCAATCATTTGGTTCAATCTACCACTCTGCAAATTGAGGCACCAAATAATTGACATTCAATTTGAACTGATCAATTTGAAAAAACCGTTTTGTACAGAGATATTAGAGAATACTTGTCAAAATACGATACTTCAAACACTCTGAGATCTCGAATACTCTCAGCCAAATATTGTTTTCAATTGGGACAATACAAAAAATGAATTTAGCAAATTCACCTTATATTATATCCTAATATTTTTCAGACTAAAATTTAAAAAAAATATTTTAAATGCGAAAAAGATTTGTAGAAATATTGAAAAATTTCTGTCGAAAAAATATCTGCAAACGAGGGTATATTATGGTGAAAAAGTAAAAACTTGTTTTCAAGAAAATTTTAGTATTGAACCAAGCAGGGCAAAAAAGAAGCCATGTGCTGATATTAGAAACAATAGGAAATGAAACCAAAAATGCCATTTAAGCCAGTATCAGTTCCTTAAATCATTATGTGGTAAAAATTTCATTTTATTCATTATATGTGAATTTATTTTACCGATTCTTTTCTACGCGATCACTAGTAAATGTTTAGCATATTACAATACAGACATAATATAAAGATTTTATTTAAAATGGTGGATTGGAATTACGAAGTCTGTTGAATGATAAGTGATTAACTTAATTTCTTTAAAAACAGTTCCATAAATATGCCTTATAATTTCAATCCACTGGACTTTGCAACATTAGAGTTTAAATTAAAATTATACAATTCATCACAGTCTGTGCTAATATAGCTAAGAGCTAAGAAAAATTGTTTAGATAAAATTTTCGCAAATTAATTAAAATAAATCTATTCCAGAAATTTTCATGAGTTATTGCAACTATTTTGTACATTTAGAAAAAATTGTTCATTCACTTTAGATAACTGTTCTGTTAAAATGGAATTCTTCGGTTCATAGATAAATTAGTAGATTGTGGCACTAATTCCTCAACCAAGCCAGAAGCGCTAAAAAAAAAGTCAGATAAATAATCACATATCCGGAGCCAAAAATAGTTGATAAATAACGTGGGAACTGGAAAATGACGATTAGTGTCAATGCAGACAAAAATGGCCATTGATGCCGCTTCCTATTTCGATTAATTCGAGCCATTATATATGAATGCATTTTTGGTCCCCAGAGTAAACCACAATGAAAAAAATGCCGAGGTTGTAATTTGATTTTCCCTTGAAGATGCTAAAAAGCCATCACAAAAACGAACAATAACAAAAAATGTGGCAAAATTAATCATATCATATTACGGGAGAGAACTGAAAATTTTTGAAAAAAAAAAGCAAAAAGACAATAAAAAAATCTTATAAAGAGCACCTGCAAAAGCGCACCGAAAACCAGTCCAATTAATAAAGGCCACAAAATTTGCAATAAGGTATTCAACCAATCTGGCGAAGCTATTCTTTTGTGAAATAACCATGTAAGTTGATTAAATTTGAAATCTGTCATAGGAGGATATCGCATGCTGAAATCTAATAAACTATATCAAACTTAGAAATGAAACTTTGCAATGGGTTTTGAATAGATTCTGAATAAACCAAAAATTTTGAATGGATTAAATTAAAAAATTGAAACAGATTTTTTATTTTTCCAAGCAAAATTCATCGTAAATAAGCAGAGATTAATGAGATAATAAGATTAAGATGGAGTATGAATGAAAAAAATTTCAAAATTACTATATTTTTCTATTTTTTTCGGTTTTCCACATTTTTTAAATTACAACTTAAAAAAAATAAAAAATAAGTTAGCAAAAAGAAAATCCAACAAAAATTATGCTCGATTAGATTTTGCTAATACAGATAAGATGTTGAATATTCGTAACGAAAAATCTACCCAAAGAGCGTTTCGCCAAAAAACATCCGCTTCACCACACTCTTTTCATGTGTGAATGTATCGAAACCAAATTTTCCGTGGTAACGACCCATGCCGCTATAACCAACACCACCAAATGGTAAAGTGTCCACTAAATGCAGCATCAGGGAAATATAAACTATTATGATATACTATAAAAGACTTAAGATTGAAAATTTAGGTGACTAAAATATCGTGATATTAGCGTTATAAAGGTAGTACAGTTTTAAAATAATGTTGAAATAATACCACTGAGAAAAATGAAGCAAATTCGTACAAATCAAAAACAAAGATAAATATGAAAATAATGTTAAACTAGTGAATTATTGGAAATGATTTACCAATCAAATGTATGCAAACATCATTAATGCAAACACCACCACTAGACGTTTCACTACAAAATCGCCGAACTTTAGACTCATTACGAGTGAATAAATAAGCAGCAAGAGGTTTTTCCTTGGAATTTATGAATTCAATGGCTTCATCTAAGCCAGTAACGGTAACTATTGGAAGTATTGGGCCAAATATCTGAAAAATTTGGTCGAAAAATTATCCGAAATACAAGATTTGTCAAAATAATTTCAAATTTATAGTTGATTAATTAGGTTATCACTCATGTTTTCTTAGTTTCGTTTCTCTGGCTATTAGAATGAAAGACTTTCGCCATAAAGCCATTTAAACAGCACCAGATTCTTTAATGACAAGTTTTCTTCTTCTAGAAGAACCAGATGAAAATTTAAGTTATCCAATTAACTGTATTCGCTCAAAAGAAGTCTTTTTTTTGAATAATCAAGTTGAAATCACAGGGAAAAGAAAATTCTCATTTTCATGAAAATCTTGATTGCTACCATGAATTTCATCTTTGTAAAATGTTTCCTGGCAATCAAAATATACGGATTTTCCCGAAATATACGAAAATGAATTCATTTTTGACTGCATCAAATGTTGCAGAATTTTTACTGTTACTGGGAAATTTTTGCAACAAGGAAATCTTGAAATATTAACCGTAAAATCATTCCATGCGTACAATTTTCTTGAGGACTTAGAAGCAAATATATTGAGATACCTTTGACTTGTCTTATAACATAAGACTTTCAAACATCAGTTTTCTCAGTCTTCCAATAACCTTTAAATGGCATTATGCAAAGCAAGTTCCTATAATTCTGCCTACGATTTGCACCGTTAAATACTTTGAAATATTCTATTTTTCTCCGCTAATGTCCGACTTTCATTCATCGTTAGAAGTGCCTTGCAAGTTGAAATCACCTTATTCAAATTTTACAAAATACCACTGATTTTTTGGACGCTTATAGTGTTGTTCTTCTTTTCTAATAGCATTCATAGCTTTTGGTTTGAATGGTTCTACCGGATATTTATGAGATTCTTTCGCCAGATGGCAGTTTAGGAATGAAGAAAGCGGAGGAATAAAAGATGGGTCTCATAGAATATTTCATGGATCTCATTCGGATTTTTGTGTTAGGTTTTTTTTTAAATTTTTTATCTGTGATAGGTTTTTTTTATCTGGCTACTTCTTTTCCAATGAACCAAATTCCATCAGACTTCGAGAAAACCAAGAAAACAAGATGACAGACAAATAAAATCAAAATAGCAGTTAAAAATTGGCACGGAAAGGACTGCCAAATATAAAAAACAATTGCATTTAAAAGTGAAGACATTACTCTTGGGTAATACTAATGCAGTTTATATGAAAAATATATATCAAAATATAGCGTGAAAATACTATTTCTACTAAAAAAATTGATTAGTAAAACATATATTAAAAATATTGGATAGAATAAACCTCGCCTTCCATAATCGCATCGTTTTTTGAGGAATCTAAGATAATAGGTGGCATAAAAAGATCATCACGATCAAACTCACCCCACTGATAAAGAATGCTTGCATTTGATCTTTTAAGTACATTGGCTAAACGCCTGAAATTAATTAATCTTTAATTAATCTTCAAGATGATGCGAATACGAATACTCAGAATGAAATGGAATAAAATTTCTGGCCTCAAAAAAAAATGTCAACCAAGAAAAAGTGGAAAAGAATAGGTAAATGGGACAAGATAATATATGGTTAACAAAAATCAACAATTAATAAAAATTCTAATGCATTATAACGTCATAAAATTTAATTTAAATAGGAATTTAAATGATATGAAAAGGAAAACCAGACATACTCAAAATGTGTCTCATCGACCAAACGATTATAATCTGGTGAGGACTTTGGATTTGGAGAATAAAATTGGCTCAGGGCTTTTTTTATCGCTTCAACAAGACTAGCTTTCAAAGCCTGCGATGTTAAAATATAATCTGGTGATATACATGTTTGCCCACAATTCGTCCATTTCCCCCAGGCAATACGACGAGCAGTAATCTCGATATCAGCATCGCTTTCTACCACCACTGGACTGAAAAATATAAGAACGATTATTTTGGAAAAAGTTTGAAAGATCTATAATTTAAATATGTGGAAAAAAAGCTTACCATTTGCCGCCAAGTTCGAGGGTCACAGGGGTGAGATTTTTAGCAGCTGCAGCCAATATGATTTTTCCTATTTCTTGACCGCCAGTAAAGAAAATGTGATCGAATCGTTCAGCAAGTAAATTGGCGCAAACGACAGCATCACCAGTAATCACAGTTAAGAAATGCTGAAAAAAAATTGTCTTCAGATTTTAAAGCAATATAAGCAATAAAAATATAAAAAAAAAAAATGTGGAAATCAATCGAGATGAAAATCCTAAACATATAACTCGGCGTACCATAGTAAGCGGTTATTATCAACAATGATGCAAAAAATACTTTCTTTTTTCTTCAATGGATCAAATGAATCGAATGAACTACGGTTGGTAATTCAACAAGTTTTCACAAATTAATTTTTTTTCACAACAAATTTCACAATAATTTATATAATAGAAACTAATGAATAATAGAAACTAACTGGATCGAAGTGTCGCGAAAACAGATCAGCTAAAACCTTGGCTGTGTTTGGTGCTCTTTCAGCTGTCTTTATTACTGCTGTGTTACCTCAAAGTTGTAATTTCACAAATTTGATAAATTCTATAATAAATTAAAGATTAAAATTAAAATTTGGAATTATTGAGATAAAACTATTGAATATACATCTATTTTATAATAATATATTTTCACTTTGAAAAAAAATTGAAAAAACCTGCTGCAATAGCTGCAATAAGTGGAAGAAAGACGACATATAAAGGATAATTCCAAGCTGAAATAATAAGCACGACTCCAAGTGGATCTTTAACAATACTCAGTGAATCTAGTAGCGACAAAAACGTTTTTTCTACCTAAAAATAGCTCTAAAAAAACAATTTCATTGACGAATTGCTCACTATAAAAAATTTCAAAATTTCAATTTAACATGAAAAGTAAAATTTTCTATGGAATTTACGAGTATTAGAAATTTCAAATCCAACGTTATCTTTGAATTTTGTGCGCTAAAATCTCAAAAATGCTAACCACTTGAGGTGAAGTCCACTTATCAAGATTATCCAGCATGTAATCGATTTCCAGAAATACAGATAGTAACTCCATACCATACGTTATCTTTGGCATCTATAATTATTCTCTTCAATTATAGAAAAATCTCAAATTATAGAAAAATAAAAATATTTCAACGAACTGCTTTTTGATATTTCTTTACACTTCTTTTGCCAACAAATTAAATAATTTTAATCACATTCATTCTTCCAAGATCAAATATTTTTCTGTGAACTTGTTATTATTCTGCTAAAAGTATTTAAAAGCATTTGGCTGGCTCCACTGATTACAACGGTGATTCACTGTCGAAGAATCACTTGAAGATAAGGAAAGATAAGGATAAGCCCCAAGCGAAATTCATTTTTAATGATAGATTTACTTTAACCAAAGAAAAGATAGCTGAGAGGTAGCTGGTTACAGGTTTCATGTTGAGAAACAAAGGTTCGGCTCCAAAAAAAAAAAGTTGATCAAATAATAATAATGAAAAACAATAACAAACTCGTCGAAGATCCTTATAAACAGCTTCAGTTAACACCCTCTCTTCTTTTTCTACTAATGTTCGTAGTGCTATGAGTTGTTGTCTACGGTGTTCCAATTTCTTCGTAATTCCTGTTCGAAAAAAATTTCGTTGTTCTTCCACAATCTACAAATATTTCATATATTTATTCTAAAAGAATATTACAAAAATATTATATTACTGAATGTTATGAAAATATTATGCATAATATTTACAAAAAAATCTAATGTAATAAATCTTATGTTTACGAATATATTAAAAAAAAATTCCGAAATTCTAGCATCTGTTGTATCAAAATTTTCATTTCTTATTTTTTATCCCTTCAGGCATGAGGAAATAAAAAATTTAAAAAATTTCATAAAAATAAAAATTTTTATAGATCTTAAAAAAAACAAACGAAAACGATTTTTGAAAAAATATTAATCGGTGACATTTTAACGATTTAAACTCGAGATAACTGGCTTTGACTATTTGCTCCAAATATTAAGATTGTATAGAAGAAGAAATTTTCATCTTAAAATACTCTTCTTAGTTTTCAATATCTATAGAAATAAACGTCATAAACATCGTAACTTCCGATTTCCTACAGTATAGTGATAAAAAATAAAACCAAATTGAGAAAATGGATTGAATAAAAGATATAAAAATTAAAGTTTGCCGACTAAATGCAATAAAAAAAACGTGAAAGTAAAAAACAAATTTTACCTGGTGGATGGAGGTCATATTCCCAGTGAAATTTCTTATCGTTTGGCTTCTTTTAGCTAAAAAAGTTTCCATGATTAAATCAAGAATTCGAATTCATTTTTAAGAATTAATTTCCGTTCGGCTTTATGATTCATTTTCGATGGCACCTGTCTATTTAATTCGAGAAAGAAATCATGCATAGCATAGCATTAACTATGTCAATAAATAAACATAAAAAAGATAACAGAAACGAAGAAAAATCTATGTGACAGCAAGGAAAAGAATTAGAAAAAAAACCAGTGATAACAATTATATGTAGGACGAATATAGTTAATTATTTAATGTTCATCATTTTCGGTTATACACATTCAACTGGCTATTAGCACGAGATGTTTTCCTCACTTTTATCACACAGAATTACATATAGATTCCCAGCATTACAAGGATTTTCTTACTGTTAAATTTACTTCTGCCAGGGACGGCGACCGAATCAAGATGCTTGAAATTATAATTTAAGTAATTGACCACTCTGCCATCTTACCCTTCGACCATACTACGATCAATGTTAAAATTAATCAAATTAACTTATAATTACTGATAATTCATGTGTTTTAAATAAAAAACATCTAAAGCGTTAAATATTTTTGTAAAAGAAAAAATTTTCATTTTTGTTAAACTAAAATTAATAAAAAATTCGTGGAAATCAGATCAAAAATGAACCTTTAGGAAATAAACTGAAAATTAACGTTTTAATATTAACGTTAAAAATGTTTCACATCGACTGATAACTTATGAATCATTCGAAAAAATGGCATTAAAGTTGATAAGGAAAATTGATAATGAAATTCGCAAGTAAGCAAGACGAATACTCTTAACTTTTACCTTCAAATTCTATATTTACTCGCTACTTCCTCCATCCCCTTTGCTGAAAAAACGGACTGTCGCGTGCCAGTGAATACTACTCTCTTAATGTCATGCTAGTTATTTTAAAGAAAACTATTGGGTACCACTGGCCAGTTCCCTAATTTTAAGCCAAGAAAACACTAAGTACCACTGTCTTATTTTCTTAATTTCAGATCAAAAACAGATTTTAAGGAATCCTTACGCTTTCGCTAATTTTTAGAACTCAAAATAAAATAAAACAACCATTCCGCGAAACGTATGAACAATTATAATGAATGCCTCTAACAAGCGATGAAGGCTTTAAAATTGCTTAAGCCGAATTTTAGTAGCCCGAATGCCTTTTAAATTTTTGTTTAAATTAATCGCAAAAGCGATTTGCTTTCTCTGTAAGCAGCTAAAACGAAATCAGTTCTTTGATTTTGGGAGGTGCGCTGGTCGACTCGTATTTCTCTCTCCAAGTGACTCTGCGGCGGTTCCCATCCTAGGTAAGCGGAGTGACTCTGCGGCGGTTCCCATCCTAGGCAAGAGGCTTTTTCGAAATATTAAAAGTGGAAGGTGAATCAGAGTTTATAAGAAGAGGGGAATTTGTTGAACTCGAACCTACCGTTGATCATTCTAAGATACAATTCATTATAAAAGACCATTCAAAGAATGAGAAATATACTGGAATCGTTTCTATGATAACAATAACTGAAGCAAATTTTTTACTTCGATCAAATTCGATAACCTGTTTCCTAAACTTGTCTTTTCGTCTTTTAAATTTTATATCGTTTCACAATAGAATCTTTCGCGCTATAAACAATGTGTGGTACTTGCCTTGGAAATGTACTACGTTGGCCTCATATCATGCATTTAGATGCATTTAAAGCTAACCAGTCAATAGTTCTTCCTCTTTAGAATGCAGTAAATGTCCTTTAAACTCGGCACGCTTTCCACATAAAGTTAGAGTTGATGGCGACAGCGAACTTCTTCATATTTGTCAATCAGTTTAACTATTTAACTTAGATAGATTTGGATGAATTTAGATAGATTTGGCTGGTTTTGTCTATATTGCTAATTTGTCATTCCTTCGTCTACCATCACTTCTTCATACAGTATAATTTTGTCGATATTACTATTATCCAAGACCACAACGAATTCGCCAAATTTCGAATTTGAAAAAACAAACAGCAGAATTAATAACACTTCTAATTGATCTTAAGTGTAAATATTTTCCAATTTTTTCTTCTTAATTTCACAGAAATGTTCAAATTCAGAAAATGACAAATTTTGTAGAGCGCCATCGAATATAATGCGTGAACTAACTACTGATAATTTGCTGATAACTTGCTGACAACTAATGCATAACCTGAGTTATCCAGATTTTACAATACGCTGTAAAAATATATTATTAAAATATATTTGACACGACAAATTTAAAAGTTTGATTTTGAATTAATTGTTACGAAAGGACATTAGCAATTATAAAAAATAGTTCTCAGGCAAAATCAAATCAACAAATTGTATCCTTCATATAATAAACAAGAGCTCCATCCGTATATTCTTTTGCATTACCTTCAACAGGTTTCACCGATCCCATCGCACAGTGTTTTGTTAATCTGCAAAGGAGATTTTATCCAGATTTTATATATATAAGCAATATCAAATGTTCCCCTAAATTAGAAAAGTAACTCCAGCAGATCCCAGAAGTAACACCATAGGTTTCTCTCGTGAAAAGTGCACGGCTAGAAACAGCTAAGATATTGTACAGAGCCTTCAAGACCTCTGGCAGAGGATCCTAGATTGAGGATGATCCATACCATCCACAGGAGGATAAGAAAACGATTTGCAAAATCATCAACTGTTTTTTAAAATAAAATTTGAAAACCAATAATCGACCCAAAAAAACTTATTCATTCTGACAATTTCCATCTTTTTTTTAGTATTAAAATAAATCATCCATAACATTTTGAAGAAATATGAAGAAATTCATTCTTACAGAGAAAATCCAACGACAATACATGCTTCATTTTTTAAGCACTTTTTGCAAATACGACACATGTCAATGCACTGATCGAGAAAATATGATTTAACAACATATTCTAGACGAATTTTTGCTGGATAAATCTGCCTGAAACTTAACATGTAAGGAGAGGAGAAATTTAACAAGAATGTTTGAAAGCATGACATGAAAAGAATGATTCTTTTGTGAACTATTTCCATATAAATCTCTCAAAAAATCTCCATTATCTATCACTTTTTATTTTATTTTAGAAATTTACATATATTTACATTTATATATATTCTTAATTATTACTGTTATTGTTAAATATATCAATTTATTGTTTTTGTGCAAAGAGGAAAAGAGGTAATGAAAAAATTGAAAAAATCGTCGTTTCTTTGTTCATTAATAGAAAAAGACCTGAAACAAGCTGAATTCATAGGATCTCGAAGTACTCGTTGAAACTGTAGAAATTTATCATTCTTAATGGAATTGGGATCTACACCGTATGTGTCGATAGTTTTTGGATCAATCTATAAATAATCTACTCTTTATTTTACAAGCATTTCCATTTTTATGAAACCATACTTTTTTAGACAATTTATATTTAAATCCTATTTTGACAGACAAGGTGGCGGGGTAGTCGATCCCTGGATTACCGTTCTTCCATTGCAGTTTGGACTCCTCCTAGAAGTATACCTATAGTAAAAATCTGGATGGTGTTGGCGATCTATTAGTAATTTTATCTCATTACGGCTTCCTTGTAAAAATTTTTTTACCGCAATTTTTCACTGACTATCAACAGATGGAGGTGAACCAGAAATTAGCGTCGCCACTTACTGCAGAGGCAGGGTTTGACTATAACCTTGGAGACCATATTCTGAATAAAAACCACCCCATTTAAATTCAGCAAATTAAAATTACAAAAAAAAGAAACCGGTAGAATAGGGAAAAATGGCAGAGAGACTGAAATGAATATAGAAATAGAAATGGAAACGTAAGATACAATCAAAACACTTATATTTCCTATCTTTCATCTGGTCTTCACAAAAAAAAATTGTTTTAGAAATGTTAATCGACAATTTATCTACAGCGGTAATCGGTGGAAGAGTATCTGCAATATTTGCATGACTATATTCTTCATTGTTACCACTGTATCCAGACAACTCAACGCCACCGTAATTCTTGTCAAAGGTGTTTTCCAATTCGTCTTTGGCTGCAATTGCTATTGATGATGCTTTGAAGCGAAGTTGTTTGATGATAAAACATGATTGAAATTTGGAATAGTGGCAGTCCGATTTATTTTCGCGAATGAAAAGGCATACTTGTGCGAGTTGTTGCCAATGTCTGCTCGTAAACGCTTGACAGGCTCGAATTCAATAAATAGGCTCCATTAAACGGCAATTTCGTTGTAGAAGCGAGAGGCAGGGCATCGTATGAATCTAGCGTAGAGAAATTCTTTTTCTCATTATGTCCTTCATAGGCTGACTTGCCAGTACTAAGGTTATCTGTTGCTGGTTGTTGTGATTTTCGAGTTTGCGCTGAATTCAATTTTTTTAACATGAAAATAACAAGAAAAATGAATAATGTCACCAAATTTCCGTGAATTTCTTTTTTTTGGTACAACAAAATGTAAAAGTAGTTCTAAATTTCAAAAAAAATGTAAAATAAATCAAAATAAAATGGAGCATAAAATAAAAATTGAAAACCGAACAACTTAGTATGTCAACAGGATTCGCGATTTTTTTATTTAAAGCGTTCTTTTGTTGCGAATCGTCGTTACCACATTCATTTTCCAGGTAAATTGCTTCGTCATCGTCGATATACAGTTCAGGTAAATCAATGTGATTCTGCGATGCCAATATACATTCCTGTAAATGCCTTTTTTCTCGAGAAATTGTGAAAAGATTCCTTGATTCGAAGAGATTCAACAAATTATAAATATCAAGTTAGAAATCAAATAAAAGCTGATCAGTTTAGGCCATAGACTAAACGATTTTCAAGGCCGATGATGACAATGGATATTAACGACAAACACTGCTTAAAGCGAAAAAATGGAAAATTTAAGAAATTACTTGTGGGTGGAAGCATCATTTGGATTTTCAATGAACTTGCTTAAGAGATACAGGAATTGTTCTGAGCGGTCTCCGTTATTCCGCTCCTAACTTCGCAGTCTCAGTTCTTTTTTTCCCTTTTTGCTTTCCTTCTACTTTTTTCCTTTACATTTTGAATTTCCGCGAAAATTTTTTTATTCATTAAAACTTGACTTTATTTTTTTCGCAAAAAAATTTTTCTCATGCATAACCAGTGAAAGTACAATAAAAAATTTTTTTGTTTAATATTTCTGGCTCAATCAAAAATCATAAAATCAAGTTGTCTTGGCAGAATTAAACATGTCGTAAAGTAAATCCGAGTGACTGCTGAGGATCCATCTCTGTCTGCCACGTGATTCTGTGGCGAAATGAAATTCAGACAGCGCCTGCGTATTCTAGCTATATTACACGACGATACATGCGATGAATATGCGAATAAAGCGGGGAATTAGTAGTAATAACACTAAAAACAGGCAATCATATGAGTTTTTGAGCTTTAAAAGTATATCGAATAAGTATCAGACAAATATCTATCGAGGTGTGGACGAGGTGAAGTCCTGGCGTCATCCACATTTTATCCAAATCGTGTAGATATTGCTTGCCCATTGAAAATCCGCCTTTTTAATTCTTGCTGCATCACAGTATCGCTCCGAACAATTCAAGGAATGGAGTTATAACTGCCAAATCCAAGAGAGAGCGATATGTTTTAATGACTGGTTGGTCTAATGATTTAAAGACAATATCTCGGTTATCAATGTTTATACTCTCACTCTGTGCACAAAATGATGATTTGAAGAGAAATTCTATGCCGAGCTCAACTTGCTAATATCATCACTCCCAAAAAATGACAGATTAGTGATCAGAATGTGCATGTAGGATATGATGCTGTTCCACTAGTGAGAGCGTCTTCTCTGCTTTGTTTACCACTTTGCCTTACTTTTAGCCACCAATACAGACTATTTGCATTGCAGACAATATCCGGTTATATGGAATCTTCTAGATAATCGATATTCGAATAAGACTGACTAAATTTTGGTCAATGGAAGGATATAGCGTATTAAATAGCCGCTCACATCGACAGTGCTCTCTTCTGCTGCAGAGAATTTTTCGAATTTAAACTTAGCTACAATGGGCTGACTATCTGGGATCGCGAACATAACTGGAGCTCATTTGGAATCGTACGATTACAAATGCGAACCAATGCACGAAATAATCCCTTTAATTCAAAAGTTTCAAGCCAATAAAATGTTTACAGAAAACTGTCTTCGAGTTGAATTCTTCAAAAGCGTTCTTTACAATCCAGAAAAGCTATAGGCACCATTGTCGGATAAGAAGCAAATAGCACTAGGGCAAGTCAATTCCGTAAGTAAATAATTCCCAAAAAAGGTGACAACTAAAACTGAGAACCCGAAAATCATATTTTTGGAAAGATTTTTACCCCTATTCGGCTGAATAGATTCGTAAAGCTAGATTTAGGCAGGGTATGGTTATATTGACCAAATTTTCACTTTAAGAAGAGTAATGGAACATCGCTTCAAGATGATCTATCCCCCTGTCCTTTATCAACATCATCGCTGCCTTTCGATCGATAATACATTTTTACAAATTATGCAACAAAGTGGTGTTTTAGAGAAAATGATTAGATCGTATAGGGAATTATGTATAAAGAATTAACAAAACCTTCAGAAATACGAACCAGTAAGGGTTGTATCAAGGGTCTTCTCCTTTATAATTTTCAGTTATCAGATGGCGAGATACCGCCAATATTCAACAGATATGCAAATCAGGTCAGAGTATAGTATCATAGATCTTATATTGAATATGGTGTTTACAGCTACGAGGAATTATGAACAAACATTTTAGACCCGAGGTCGACAGCAGCAGTGAAAATTGGCTTTTAAATTAATATAACTGAGAAGACTCTTTTTATTTTATATACTAGACGCTGATAAGATCACATTTAAATAATGTCAGAATTTAAATATCTCGGAATTATTTCCATATCTAATGGCCAAATGAAAGATGAAATTCCAGCTCGGATGGCTACAAACAGGCATGCCTTCTTTTTTCTGGTTATTTCGAATCGTTGCGAAATCAATTGACTGCGATACGCATAATTCTGCTACATAGTTGTGAAACATGGCCAAAAAGGTGGAGCATATCAGGAAGCTATCTGCCTTTGACCATTTTTGCATAAGATATGCCTTATGCGCGTACCAAACGGACAGAGTTTTTCATGATTGCATCCACCTTCGTTCGAATAAGAAATATGCATTAATCAGTTCATCAAAGGCGTTACCTTGGCCATGCTTTTTATCGTTCATTATAGGGATTGCTACACATTTCGCTATTTAAAACATGACATCAAAAGCGAGAAGGATTAATAAAGACCTAGACTGATACGACCAAGAGAGACTTGAACACATGAATGGCACAGCTATACATGGGCTTAAGAGATGGAAAAATAATGGCTTCTATTACTTTTATGCATCGATTTGGGAAACTTAGAAACGTCATATCCTAGTCAAAAATGCAGTAAACCAAACCAGCATTGGTGTGAACTATTAGAACGGTCGATCATTTCCTTCTTAAAATCAACTTTCACTAATTAACAAAGATTCACTTGTTCTTTAGGATAATAAATGGCTGCTTTACAAATGATATCGCTCATTGTTTTCGCATTACGACATGCCTTCAGACATTGTGATTCCGAAATTTCTTGGATAAGTTCGTCAATCACACCAATCAAGACCTTTCCCTCGATCCTGTTGAAACAACCGTCATCAATAGTTGCTGTAGATGCCTTTAGATGACTAAAATCTGAAATAAACAAAAAGAAATTCACGAAATTTTAAAAGATAAAGGGATTATCAAATCTAAATTAAAGAATAAGATTGATCTACGATTTGAATCAGACATCCTGTTTATTTTTAACCGATTGGCTGTAATTTAATTTTAAAAAATTTTTACGATCATATTTGTAGTATTTGTTACAAATTCGATGATAATAGTCAACTTTCTCTTCTGCTGGAAGAGCGTTAAGACGATTCGCAGCCGTATGAACACTTAGCAAACATATCCGTTTACGATGCGAATATAGAACAGATCTAAAGAAGTTTAACGCGAAGAAATTTTTGTTAACGCTAAAAATTTTAGGCTAATTGAATTAAGATTTGATTTTCTATAACAAATGAACAGCATCAATATTTCGATTTAGAATTTTTAAAAATTCGTTGCCAAATTCGAACGTAAAAGTTAAAAAAATTACAGACAGTTTGATTGATCATATTAGAATGACTTATTAATTTCTCGTATTCATTTATTTATTTTTAAATAGCGAAAAATTAGAAAAAGATAACCCGCAATCAGTTTGATCGGCAAAAAGGCACGCTTTTAGACATTGATCCAGGCTGAGATTCGATATAATGGATCGAGTAAAATTGGCGAACGAACGATAAGCAAATTTCATTGAGCAATCTGGTTGCGAAGTTATGCTTAATATCATAGAAATAGCGGTTAATAATTGCCGCATACTGAAAAAATGGTTTTATTTATTATTCAAAAATAATTTTTTAAAAAAAAGTTGAATTTGGCAATACCTGTGAAAAACCACTTTTTTTTATTAAAAGTTAATTAAATAATTTATTTTTTAAGCATTTTTTCTTCAAAATCTCCAAAAAAATAAATTTTGAAAAGAAATTTTTTATTTAGAATAATTTAGGGATAGAATGGCTTAGTGGATTGTTGCTCGATTGGGAGCGCCGATGCTGAGGTTCTGTTTCTCGCAGGAATAAACCTGTAATCAGGATGGTGCTGGCGACTCACCTGTATTTCTATCGCCAAGGGATTCCCTGGCAATGCGACAAGCCAGTGGAGCGAGTTTAACCAGCAATGGTGAGGACTCTTTAAAAAAATTAGAATAATTTTGTAAATTTAGCAATAAATAGCAACGAATAAATGGAAGCAAAATCTACAATAAATGAGATTTAAAAATTCATGAAATTTATAAATATTAGAAAACCTGAAATAGAAAATCTTTGGAAATCTTGTAAAAAAGTTATTGAAAATTTTTGAATAAATTCATTCAAAATGCGAAACACTCTTCCGAATTATTCACCCATTTGAGTGAATATCGAGTATTCATATAAAACAAAATCGCGAAATCTTTTCGCGTTTATTGCAGTCGTCGAGTGATTGAAATTTATAAATACAATAAAATTTCAATCGGAAAATAGTTTACTCTTATTCATATTCTGCTTTTCAGATTCTTAGTGCTTCCCAGTTTTAGCCAAACTTAAAATTCTTTTGTGAATTATGCAATTCTTTTGTTAGAAATTTAGAAATAATTATATATCAGATTTTTTATTTGTTAGCAATAAATATGAGCCAGTGAGCAATTCGACCGCTTCCATGGTCTTTAATAGTTTTATGGCGTTTAAGCGATTTTAGTTAACAGTCTTCGTCATAACAATCGTTTTTCATTTCATTTTATAATTTTTATTCTACAGATTGATTGAATATTTCAATTAGTTTTCAAATTTATCCGTAACCTTCATTCAGTCAAAAAATTATTTTAACAAAGCAAAAATCTTTAAATCTTTAAAGAAAACCATTATTGCAAGAAGTATCCATGAAAAAATTAGTGAAATAATTCAAAAAGAAATAATTGGAAAACGATAGAAAAATTTGCAATGGAAAAAAGCCAAAAAAGTTTATTCGAATTCAGACAGAGATGTTTAATTATTTTTCATTAAACTGTTTGCTAGAATTTTTCAATTAACGATACCAGATTGTTTGATTATAAATAATGATAATTCTTTTAAAATAATTCCCTTATCAAACTATTTTTTTTAGGCTAATTGTTTACAAGCAAACATAGTTTCTGGAATGTTCTGCCCCGATTATTAAATTTATTTCGAGATAGTCCCAAGGATTATCCTGCCACGAAGTAGTTTGTAATAACACCGTGATATTTTCTTATCACATTTTTCTATCATATTAGTCCTATAATTACCTTTAAGATATCTACCTGATCTAATAATTCTATCTTAATACTTCTACAATTTAATAAATTTCTCTATATTTCTATAATTTAATAAATTATAATAAATTGAGTGGTTTTCTCAAAAAACTTCATCAAAATTAAATTTCAACAATAATGAAGCAATTGAAAATTAAAATCATAAATAAAAGCAAAATGTGGATAGTTGGGTACTTGTCTCCATTTGATGTTCAGCAGCGACTGGTGCATGAGAATTATGAGAGTCCCACTCCATTAAACCTAACAAGAAATGGAGAGCTTTATGTTTTTTATTATCTATTGCTCGAACTGAAGCATATACGAGTATATGCAATCCTGCGACAAATTATTCAACGATCAGGATTTCGCGATTGATCAACTATTGAATAATGAATGACCAGTTGCAGCAGTAAGCTCTACCTTTGCTAACCAATTGGAATCGGAGAATAAATCGCTTTTTCGATTATTTGTTGAATAAAGTTTCATCTTTTTTATATTCATTTGTTATTGTGATAAAAAATAATAAAATAGAAAATAATACTTAGCATTAGCTTTTCAGTTTTTTATGAATTTTTGGAAATAATTTGAAAATTTTTCAATGGAACATAAAATTTTTGAATTTATTTCCCACAAAAAATAAATATTTGAATTTTTATTAACGACTGTTTACTGAAATATATTAGCTGAATACTGAATTCATGGCCTTACCTAATGACGTGCCTTGTCCACCTTTTAGTAATTTAACAGATATGTTTAAGAACATTATAAAATTTTCAAATGGAAATAAATCGAAATGAAAGTTTTTGAGAAGTAACATATGAAAAAAAAGATTAATTTACTTCCAAAACTGTTATAATTACTACATATATTACTACAAATTCAAAAGGATTATTCAGAATTAACTCCTTTGGCTATTAGGATGATAATCCTTCGCCAGAGAATTAATTGGGAATAGAAGTATAAGAGGGTCGATTTGGATATCACTTTTAATAACAAGTGTATTTCCTTCAAAGGACAAGAGCCTGATATAGTTATTAGAAACATCATACCATTCGATCACCCTATCTTCAAGAAAGAAACAAATAATACAATCTTTTAACGTCTCGGCTTCTTTTTAATGGAACAGAGTCCAACATAGGATTGAACTAAGTTATGTGTGAATTTTGAATTCTTTTTTAAGAACCCTCACCATTATTGGTTAGACTCACTCCATTGGCTTTTCGCACTGGACAAATTTGCCAGAGCTTTGGCGATAGAATTAAAGGTGAGCTATCTCTTGAACTCTGAACCTTAAGTAGTTAAGAATACCATCTAAAGTCATAATCGTAGAGCTAAAAGGCATTTATTTCAAAGATATTATAATTGAAATGTGAAAAATTTGGCAAAGAAGCCTTTTATAAAGATAATAAATAATATAAATGAAGCAAAAATTATGATGCATTTAAAATTGCTTTTTTAATCTAATCTCAATGCATTTTTTCGCGATTTAACGCAAATGAAATGAGCCTGTCGCCGAAAGGCGAAAAAAGCTATAAATTTGAGCAAATCAACCGGATTCCCGCCCATCTTAAATTAAATACAAGCTCCCAAAAGATCAATTTTGGTTTTGGTCATTTTTGTGCTTTATTAGGGGAAATGAGTGGGGGAGCGATCGGTGAGTGATGGGCATTTAATTTTTATATTTGGTTTCTTTGACTGTATTTCGTTGTAGTAGGGCAATTACTTCGCTTTATTTTCTTATATATATTTGCGTCTTTACTAATAAAGGTTACCCAAGTTTAATTACCCAAGTTTGAGGTTTGCAGCGAAAAAAGTAAGAAGTAGAACGCTGGCCGCAGAGTTTTATAATAAATAAGAAATAAAAGTCCCGCGTGGCAAGAAAGCTAAATCTATACAGAAAAAAGATAGTGGAGCGGATTCCCGAAGGGAATTTTTGTAAAGGTAGAATATTGGAAGGGGAATCGCCGTGTTCCCAACGAAAATTCCGTATTGCTATAAAATCCTTTTTATATACAGAGCCAATAAGAATGCCCTCGCTTTTAATCGACCAATTTCACACAAGTTCCAGGACAGCGACATATCTTTCGACATATATTTCTTTTCGGAATATAGGGGAGACTAAAAGAAAAATATTTGTTCAGCATGAATCTGAAAATTTATTTAATCAAGAAAGAAAACGATTAGAAAAAAGGAGGGGTGCCAATTCAACCGGTAAATTCAATATCTCAAAGTAGGATTACACAATAATATTAAAAATTTAAGAAATCTTAATTTGTGTGACCCTTTGGGGCTATTTTAGGGAAATTCGTGTTTTAAATAAGAAAAATAACTCTCATCTTAGAAACGATAAAACAAATTAATACCACTTAAGTACCACTATTATTGCCATATTTTAGTTGTTTAATTGTCGTTGTGCGCTGTTCTCAACAGAGATATCTAATGTTCTTCCTGAAATCTGTCTTGAGTCCTGTCTGATGTGGTAGATCCCAGCTTCGAGGAATCATGTGCACCTGGTTTTGTGCTACTATGTCGCGTACTGTTTTTAAGTAGATTTTTTTCAACTACTAGTAAGATTTCTCAGTTAATTCAATTAATTCAATTCAGTTTTTTTCTCAATTATTTTCTCCATTCCATGGAAATTTTTGCTTTATCGCGGTACTTCTGCATGGTCTTCCTGCAATGTCTCTTGATTTCTCAGGTATTCTCTTAGCACTCCATCGTTTGGTGCCATCTTACTAATATATTCTTGAATGCTCTGGATTCCATTCAAGATAGTGGCTTTGACATTGCCCCACAAGCCCCATGCGTCTTTCCAGCTGTAGTTAAGCCTTTAGGTATTAAACTTGGGTGAGAAATTTTCGTGCACTGTGCGGCATTTTCGGATCCTCACATCCTCATTGATGGTATTTGGATGTTGTTATCTTTCTTGCCTTTTCATCATGGTTTCCATGTGTCTATGAGATGCCAAGGATAGTTGGTTTACATGAGGATTATGTGCCCTGCAGCTAATTCCATCTTATCATTTCTAATTATTTTTCCTTTCTTTCACCATTCGGCCACACTTCCAGTCCAAATAACATCCCAGTATCCTCGGTGTAGATTCATCTTAGATGAGTCTCGAAAGATTCAAGACCTTTTTTCTCAGACCAATCTGGGCATAGATTTATTATAGGAAAGTTTATAATTCAATGCCTCCATCTATGGATCTGTAATTGTCTGATTCTATATAAAATCAACTGTTTCCTAAAGCGAACTCAGTAGGACTGTGGAAAACGACACTTGAAGTCAACTTAAAAATTTGCTATTAAGTGCAGTACATCAAGATGATGAATTTTTCCGCTATTGTTCTGCAAAAAATTCCAAAGTTTTTCATTCAGATATTACAGTAATAATAAGAAGCGGACACAAATACAGATTCAAGAGCGATTTACCATCTCGTCTGAATAGATGACATCAATTTATATGCTAAAAACTAATAAAACATTGATTCGTTCATTCATCTAACATGAATC